GAAGGTTTGCTTTTGGCTTCTCTCTTTCCGCGTCGGGCCTCCAGGACACTGCTCGTCGCCACGGCTGGAATCTCCTCTCGCAATTTGCACAGCAACGCGCGCTGCAACATGTCGTGGGAGTTTTTTCCTTGGGGGGGAATGAGGGCCGAACGTCGAGCATCGAACATCGTGAGGGCCGAACATCGAGTATCGAACATCGGCAACGTCTTGTTTTTTTTTTGTGGGGAGGAGCGGGGGGGGGGTGGACGTGCAGCGGATGCAGCTCAAAACACTGGACCTCTCTGGGGAGTCCATTGATATTCGTGTTGACCCAACTATGCTGTACTTTGAGGAGCTGCTCTGAGGATCCAGGAATGAGGATTCGCGTCTGTTGGTCACGTCTTTGTTGGTATGTTTCGGAGCTCCTCTCAGAAACTTCTGGTTGCCACGGCTGGCCCCCCCCATGCAAATTTCGGGCGAAAGCGCCCCCCCCCAGCAGAATGTGCGTGTGTGTGTGTGTGTGTGTGTGTGTGTGTTTTTTGTGTGTGTGTGTGTGTGTGTGTGTGTGTGTGTGTGTGTGTGTGTGTGTGTGTTGTGTGTGTGTGTGTTGTGTGTGGTGTGTGTGTGTGTTGTGTTGTGTTGTGTTGTGTTGTGTTGTGTTGTGTTGTGTTGTGTGTGTGTGTGGAGGGGGAGGTGGAGGAGGAGGAGGAGGAGGAGGAGGAGGAGGAGGAGGCGCGCGCCTCGCAGCTTGCCCAAGAATGGAGGAGGAGGAGGGGGAGGAAGAGCAGGAGCCAACTTTCCTCCTCTGCCAGCCCTGGAGCCTCTGCACCTCTCGCCAAAGGGCACAGTTGGTCCTGCCTGCTGGCCAACGCGCGCCCCTGGGGGGGGGGGGGGGTAGATAGGAGGAGGAGGGGGAGGAGGAGAAGGAGGAGGCGGAGCAGGAGGAGAAGGATAAGGAACATGATCATTTTTACGAGGAGGAGGAGGAGGAGGCGGCGGGAGGAGGAGGCGGGAGATGAGGAGGAGGCGGGAAAGGGCCAGATAAAACCCAAGATGTATCCACGATGTTGCAACACGCCCTCCCTCCAACTTCCCTCTTCATACGTCTCTGCAGGAATTGATCAAGCTGCCTGCGGCAAGTCCTGCCACCGTGCCAGCCCAGAATTCTGGGTGGCGACTGTTCGAGGGGGTACGGGAGGCCGTCACGTGATACCTCGTGTCTCCAGACTTGGGAGAGCCGTGATGCTGCTGCTGCTGTTGCTACGGATGATAATGATGATGACGATGATGATGATGATGCTGCTGATGATGATGATGTTGATGTTGATGCTGACGATGCTGATGATACTGATGATGCTGATGCTGAGTATGATTATGATTGTGATGATGCTGATGACGACGATGCTGATGCTGATGATGATGACGATGCTGACGAGAAGAGGGATGATGAGGATGATGGTGACCGTGGTGATTATGATGATTCTGGTGGTTGTCGTGCTGATGCTGATGATCATGACGATGTCTATTATGATGCTGAGGGTGATGCTGTTGACGCTGCTGCTGACTATACTGCTGCTGATGCTGATGATGATGCATATGACGACGACGATACTGAGGATGATGTTGCTGATGCTGGCGGTTGATGCTCTTGGCAATGCCGATGTTGACGATGATGGCGATGCTGATGAAGACGATGCTGCTGATGATCATGATGCTGCTGACGCTGCTGATGCTGGTAATTGTGGTGATGGCGATGCTGCTGCGGCTGCTGATGATGATGGTGAGTGGTGTCAATGCTAATGCCGATGTTGATGATGCTGCTGATTATGATGTCGATGATGATGCTGATGATGCCGATGATGATGATGCGATGATGATGATGATGCTAGTGTTGATGACGATTTTGATGACGCTAACGATGATGAAGATGATGGTGTTGATGATGATGTTGTTGATGATGATGATGCTGATGACGACACGGTGGAGGATGAGGATGCGTATGAGGATAATACTGATGCATGGCGCTGATACTGACGACGATGAAGCTGATGATGATGCTACTGATGACGACGAGGATGATGATCCTGGCGATGATGCTGATGATGATGAGGATGAGGATTATAATCAGGATTGTGATGACTGGTAGTGCTTACGACGCTTGATCATGATCATCATGAGGATGCTGCTGATAATGATGATGCTGTTGTTATTGATGATGACGTTGAGGATGAGGATGATGATGATGATGACAAGTGTGGTGATGATGATGATGATGATGATGATGATGATGATGATGATGATGATGATGATGATGATGATGATGATGATGATGGTGTTGATGACGATGCTGCTTAGGATGATGATGCTGGTGATGCTGATACTGCTGATGATGAGGATGGCCACGGCGATGAAGATGACTACTCGTCTAACTCTTTTTCATGTTGCGTAGCATTAGTACTCTCATCATTCATTTCCAATAGAATGCCAATGTGTATCATCGTTCTTATTCTTAGTATTAGCATGAATATATTCTGCTTATTCTGTTTAACAATTACTAGTGGTATGCGTTTGCCACGTCTCATTATATATATATATATATATATATATATCTATATTACTTACTCGGGTTATCCGTATCACTCTGAGTCTTGTTGTGATGATGATGACCAGGAGGCAGAGGAGGAAGAGGAGGAGGTGGCGGAGGAGGAGGAGGACGAGGAATGCCGTCACACGCGACACCTTTCGTCTTCACTATTTGAGAGCTTTCACTGGACTCGTTTTGGCCGTCTTGTGGTTGTCTAGTTTTCCCGTAGGGCAGTCTTGGGAGTTCTGGGGGCCCCCTTGGGCCGTCTTGGGGCCCTCCTAGGCCGTCTTGGGGCACTCTTGGGTCGTCTGGGGCCTCATTGGCAGCACGGTGGGTGCCTGGGGGCCGTCGTGGGGCAGTCTTGGCGTCGCCTTCGGCAGTCGAAGGGCCTTCTGAGGGCGTCTTGGGTCCCACGGACGGCTCTCTTGGGCCGTTTTGGAGCTGTCTTGGATGCCTCTTGGGCCCTCGTAGGCTTCTCTTGGGCCATATTTGGACAGTGTCGGGGAGGAACATAATGATTATGGTAATGTTGATGGCGAGGGTGATGGTGATGCTGGTGGCGATTGTGATGGTGATGGTGATGGTGATGGTGATGGTGAGGGTGATGATGATGCTGATGATGATAGTGATGGTGGTGGTGATTCTGAGGATGATGCTGATGCTGATGATGATAATGATGCTGATGATGATGATGGTGATGACTGTGGTGGTGGTGATGGTGATGGTGATGGTGATGGTGGTGGTGATAGTGGTGATGGCGATGGTGGTGGCGGTGGTGATGACGATGACGACGACGAGGATGATGATTATGAGGAGGTGGAGGAGGAGCCGCCCTCTCCTTCCCCTCTCGCCCCCTGCAGGAGCCACTGGGTTCTGGAGACGCAGACCCGCGGCCTGACCGGCGCCTGGAGGCCTACCCCGATGCCCGGGGAGCTGATGTGCTGGGTCCGGGGCTCCGGCGACCCTCCTCCGTTCCAGCCCCGCGGTCGGTCGTGCGCCCTGCGTTCCCAGTTGGAGGTTCTTCCTTGTGGTCTTCCTGCCTCGGGAGGCTCTCCAGCAGCTGCGCCTCGCCGAGAGCGTTCTGGAGTTGATCGGATCGTCGGAGACTTGAGTCATGGTCTGACTGTCGAACATATCAGCGTTTTGGTTGTTTTTCCTCTTCTGTCGCTATTTTCCGCCTCTGGGGGCCTTCGCCAGGCCCCAGGGCATTGTAGCAACGATTCAGGATGGAGCGCCAGTCCCGAGGAATTCGGCGCCGCGAGAAAAGTCACGACGCAGGGGGTCTGGGTGGGGGGGCCGCAGGAGGAGGACGAGGAGGAGGACGAGGAGGAGGAGGAGCACGAGCAGTGTAAACCCAGGAGTCATCGACGATCTTGCAATAAACCCTCCTTGCAAGCTCCGCTTACGCAGGCCCCATACAAGGGTTCAGTACCACTGCAGGACGTGCCCCTTTGGAAAACCGCCGTTCGAAAATCCTGAACTGCACCAGAACACTATCCCTGGGACTCCAACGCCGCGAAATCCCATTCTTGTTGCGTCTTTGCAATCCTGAATCGTGCCAGGACGCCGTTCCTGGGTTTTCAACACCACGAGTCGACATAACTGCTGCGCCCTGACAATACGACATCGTGCCGAAACACTGTTTTTGGGACGGTAGCCATGAGAATCCTTGGAACTGTTGTCCTCTTAGGCCGAAGGTGCGTGGCGCGAAGGCGAGAGCCACAGGTTGAAAAGGAACCGCCCTCCATCCGTGAAGCTCTTGCATTTTTTATGACGAGTGTGCGCGGCCACATTTTGAGAATGACCCGTCCTCCTTCCGTTAAGCTCCAGTACTTTTTCAAAACGGATGTGCGCGGCGCTAAGGCGAGAGCCACATTTTGAAAACCACTTGTCTTCAATTCGCGAAGCACCTGCACATTTCCAAGACGGATGTGCGCGGCGCCAACGCGAGAGCCACATTTTGAAAGCAACCCGCCCTCCATCTATGAAGCTGTTGGGAACTGTCCTCCTCCGTTGTGTTACAGCATTGTACTGGGGTGGGCTGGGCTGGTCGGCTTAAATCGGGGGCCCCATTTTGGTAAGTCCCCGTGCTTGGCTGGGGTGCGCTGGGCTGTTCGGCTAACGCCGTGAGGACAGCGTTCTGATGCCCGGAGCATTCGACGAAAGGTTACTTCTCCTTCAGCGCGTGAGAGCAGCGCGCGTGGCGCCGCGACCGCCGCCGGGGGAGGCGAACGACGGCGCTGGCCCGCGTGTTCCGCGGCATCTGGGAGGTCACTCGCAGGCGATGGAACAAATCTGTTATCAAGAAGCACGCTTCGCAACGCCAGCGCGAATGCATGGCAGCTCGTGCCTTCAAGAGGAAGGCGACCATAAGATCTGCGCGAGGAAAAACTTCGCCGACGTCGGGGAAGCCCTCGCCGCAGAACGACGCCGTGAGGAGAGGTCGCTCGCAGCAGGCAAAAGAGGCGCCGGACCCGAGCTCTATCCCAGCGGAACATCGGCAGCCGAAGACTGCCCAATTCACCAAGCAACCCATCTCGCAGAGGATTGCCGCGGTCGGTCTGGCTCGCTTGCAACCCGTAGTGGTGGCGCAGATTTTCGTCGACTTGGGCATTCTTCCTGATCTGAGTGGGGCACATGCAGAATTTGATTTTGGCGCGGTGGAGTTGTGCACGCGGCCCGAGCAGGGACATTCGACCTCGGCGGCCAGCTGCGAGATTCCGCCTTTGGAGGACCAGGTTTGGCGTTGCGATTGCTAGGTCTGCCAGAAGCGACGCAACTTGAACCCAGACTGGCCGTTGTCGGAGTTGTTCCAGCAATGACGGACTGTTATTTATGTCTCCTCTTCCAATCCTTCAAATCTATTGGCTGCGACGTAGAAAAGTTGCGCGCTGATTTTCCATGTCGCAGTGATTTTGCGGATCTGTCGGTATTATATTAAGGCTCCTGCGAGCTCAGCGAGGGCTTGATTTGCGACGGCGCAAGTTCTTTCCTTTCGCGGCACTCCGTACGCTTATTTGCATGAGTTGGCGGTGCAGATTGGAATATTGTCCGAGCCTGCAGAGCGCATGCGCCGCGTCGTGCGGCAGATCTGCGCGTCCGCCGCGCAGACCGAGCAGAATGCATTCAAGTGGAAGCCTGGTGCCCTAGTGAAGGCGGACGAGGCTTCCATGCGACGTGCTTGACGTCTCTCAACTCGCGGCATCGGGCGATCGACAGCGCTCGCGGCCCGTCGGAGCGAGTGGGCCGAGCGGTCCTTCATGGATGTGCAATTGCGAGAGGTATACAGTTCGCTGCGATATCATCGGCTTCGGAAGATGATCGTTTTCATCGAGCGTTCGATAGCGGCGCCCGCGCCAAGGGGAGTTTCCTGGGCTGCCGGCCACAAGCCGTGCACGGAGGGATCTTGGGGGCCCATATCTCTGGATATCATCGGTTTCGTCATCCAGATTCATGCGCGCGCGCCCTCGTGGTCGTCGGGATCTCGCCATGTTCTTCGAGTTGCCAGATCGTGCGCGCGAGACGGGCGCCAGCGGTGTCCAGCTCAATGGAAAGGAGTGTGGCGAGATCCTGTCTTGAATTCTGGTTAAACGGCATTTCGTGCTTCTCACGGACGGCGCCCGCGCCTGCTAGTCCGTCGCGCCGCCGAGCCGATCGCCCCGCCTGGGTTTTTTAGGGAATCCTCCGGTGTTTTGTTTGTTAGCCGGAGTTTTTCCAGGCCTGGGGGTCACCAGACATTTTAAAACCAAACCTATCAACAAAAATTATCCCAGTGCGACCCTACCTAGGAGTTGGAACCCCTAGGAAAGCAACATTAGTAGTAACAGTAACGCTAAGCTAAAGCTAAGCTAAAGCTAAGCTGAAGCTACGCTAAAGCTAAGCTAAAGCTAAGCTAAAATTAAGCTAAAGCTAAGCTGAAGCTAAGCTAAAACTAAACTAAAGCTAAGCTAAAGCTGAGCAGCAGCTGAGCTAAAGCTAAGCTACAGCTAAGCTAAAGCTAAGCTAAAGCTAAGCTAAAGCTAAGCTAAGGCTAAGCTAAAGCTAAGCTAAAGCTAAGCTAAGGCTAAGCTAAAGCTAAGCTAGAGCTAAGCTAAAGCTAAGCTAAAGCTAAGCTAAAGCTAAGCTAAAGCTAAGCTAGAGCTAAGCTAAAGCTAAGCTAAACGCTAAGCGAAAAGCTAAGCGAAACGCTAAGCTAAAGCTAAGCTAGAGCTAAGCTAAAGCTAAGCTAAAGCTAAAGCTAAAGCTAAAGCTAAAGCTAAAGCTCCCAGGGGACTGGGGGGAACCGCGGGGCGGGGACTGGGGGAACCGCCCGGGGCGCTTAGCACTGCCCGGCCCCTTTAAGCTAAGAGAGTAAGAACCCTTCTAGGCAGAGCCTAGGTTGGGAATCAAGGTTTCGTTTGAGACATCGTTGAAGGAAGACCAACCTTCCAACATTATCTGTTGTCCGATAGCTCAGGCGAAACTTGATTCATTGAAGCACCCTTTGTACCAATCAAGGTTCGCCTGGGAAATCGGGCAAAAAACAATAGGGAAAACCATAAGTGTAGAGGATGGCACATGCGAAGCCTTGATTTGTAGGAAATTCTCGGGGGGTATTTTTCTTGTGTGTTGGCAAGATTGTCGCCCAGCTTGGGTTTCCCCAGAAATCAAACAATCAACCGAGTTTGAAAACCAAGGTTTCGCTTGAGACGTCGTCAAGTCAGCAGCCTTCCCATCACTGATTGCCCGACGTCTTAAGCGAAACCTGGATCTTTGACGTAATTTTAACAATATGAAGGTTTCGCTTGGGACATCTGGCAAAATACAGTAGAGGACAAGTAACATCTTGGAAGATGTCTCAAACAAAACCTTTTTCTTCAACAGGTCATCCCGATTTGCTTTTGTGCTGGCCTTTTTCTGAACGTGGGCTTCCCCGTACATTTCAGAACTGAAGGGATTCGCTTGAAACATCGGGACGCAAAGCCTGCACAGAAAAATCGAGGGATATGGTTTTCACATGCAGGTTTCAAGTTAGTTACCCGCAGAAGAGTTCAAGCAGTACAGCATTCACATCATGAGTTGAACAATTCGTGCTCCAAAGAAGCTTGTACATGGAGCCATGTAAGCGCAAAGTGTAGTTTATCAAAGAACGTTGAAATCGTCCAGGGCAGAGGATCCGGTCGGAGGAGGTTGCTTTTACGTAGCGGTGGCCGGCCGACCGCGGTTCCAGCCTTTCTTGACGCGCGACCTCCAGATGCCCAGGGGGAGCGCCACCGACCCTGCCTCCGCCTCCTCCGCGCTGCAGGAGCTCCTGCTGCTGCTGCGCCATTTTCTGCTGCTCCTTCTCGTCGTCTTCCTCCTCATCTTCCTCCTCCTCCTCCCATTCATTCGTCCGCTTCCTCCCCCCCCCCTTCTCATTCTCATCCTCCTCCCGCTTTTCCTGCTGGTCGCTTCTGCTGCTACTGGTGCCGCCGTGGCTGCTGCTGCGGTTGCTCCTCTTCCTCCTCCTCCTCCTCATTCCCTCGTCGTCTTCCTGCTTCATATCACACTGTCTCCCGCTGCTGATGCTTTTGCTGCTGCTGTCTTCTGATGCTCCTCCTCAGCCTCCTCTCCCGTAGCCGTCGTCGTCTTCGTCGCCATCCTCCTCCTCCTCCTTCTCGTGCCCCTCCTGCTTCTGCTCATGCTATGCTGCTGCTGTTTATTATCCTCCCTCTCATCCTTACCCATCCCTCCTCCTTTCCTCCTTTCCGTTCCTCTCTCCCTTCTCCTCTCCTCTCCTCTCTTCTCCTCTCCTCTCCTCGGACCAGAGGCCGAACAGGTCCAAACACTGGCTGTCACGATTTTCGTGGTGATCGTTTTCTTATTCATTGTTTTGCCGATCGGCGCGGGCCCTCGCCCCCCCCTTCCCCGCCCCCCCATGGAGTAAACCTTGGCCGTTTTGGGCGCCCGTTTCGAGCAGGTGGGGCCTCTCCCCACAGGACACACTGCTGCAAGCAGTCGCATTCGGCAGAGGTCCGGAGCCAGACCCCCCCCACATCCTCGGGAGCCTTGAGACGGGGGTCAATGCAAACGGGGGTCAGCCACGGCCGGATCCTGCAGGATCCTGCGAAGACCCCCTCTGGCTGACCTGGGTTAGCGAGCCGCTCGTGGCCGCGAGGCGGCCGCACATATTGGCTGACCCGGGTTTGCGAAGACCTGCGTTGCAGTTTTTATTTTCCTGCATTGCAGTTTTTGGTTTCCTGCTGACCCGGGTCTGGATTGACCCGGGGCAGAAGATCCCCGACATCCCCCCCACCTCCCGCCCAACGTCGAAACGCCGAGTAAGAAAACGTTCGCCTTGGCGTCGCCATGCATCTGAGGGTCTGAAGCCCCCCTGGGGCCGCTGCTTTCGGCCCACCTCTCGAGTCTTCGGCGGCCGCCCGCGACGATATCTGAGCACCCCTGGCACACAACCTCGGCGAGGCGCCGCTGCTGGAGCGCGTCTTCCGAGGCTGGAGCCCCCCCTCCCAGAACCGACCACGGCGGGCCGCTCCCGGTCGCACGGTAGGTTCGCGTCGTGTCGACCGGCGGCGACCCCGCCGCGGGCGTTCAAGGTTGAACGCCACCAGTGGCCCAGAATCGGCCAGTGGGGACCGATCTGGCGATCGAATACCTGCCGATCGCTCAAGGTTGAACGATCCACGGGGCGTCCTGAACCAACGCCGGGGTCGGCACGACACGAACCCGCGGTATCCCTCGCGTGGAGCGCGCGGGCGCTGCAGGAGCTCCTCTACCCGCAGCACGGCGAGTGCCTCACGCACGCCCCCTACGTGGACGACTCGTCCGACCCGGACGGCTGGACCTACGGGTCCTCGGCGGCGCGGCTCGCGACGAAGCGGCTGGGCGGCCGCGCCAGCAACCGCGTGGGCGACCGCTACCGGCAGAGGCTGTGGCGCCCCTTGGAGGCCGAGGTGCCGACCGCCCCAAAGCTCAGAGGCACCTCCTGGAGGCCTCCCGCGGCGCGCAGTCGGGTGTTGCTAGAAGTACAGTCGGGGCCCTGAAGAAGGAATCCTTTTGGTTGGGGAGGGGCTCCGCGTTCCTTAAGTGTTTCACAGCTTGCCTCAGGTTCTCCTTATGTTTTCGACAGGAAATCGAAGTTTAACTTATGGAAAAAAGGGGCCTCGTTCCTTATTTGGGGTTCCTAGGTCAACGCCCCGACGGTGCCCCTGGCCCAAGGTACCCCCAGGATTCTCGGGGTGGCCCAGGCGGCCTCCAGGGCACCCCTCACGAGGCCCAGAGGACCCCAGGGGCTCCAAAATGGGGCGAAAAGCTGGGGGCACTTCGGGCCAGAGGGGTACTTCTAGCAACACCCGAAGCAGTTGCATTATTCCAGGCCTCCTGGGTGGGGTCGGAGCAGACGGGGTCGGAGGATCGCGCCGCATCGCCGATGCATCGCCGGTGCGGCTCGATGTGGAGCCCGACTTGCTTGCTTCACGTCGACGTCGCCGATGCATCGCCGACGTCGACAATGCGTGCATCGGCGATCCGGTGCGATCGCCGATGATCGCGCCGCATCGCCGATATATCGCCGATGCATCGGCGATGCATCTGCGATGCGGTGCGATCCTCTGACCACATCTATTCGGACCCCATCTACGAGGCCTCTGATCATGTCGTCCGCCCCGTCAGATATGGGACAGCGTTCGCGCGGCGATGGCCGGACGTAAGTCAGACGTAAATCCGACGTGGCTCCGACGTGATTCCGACGTAGCTGCGACGCGGATTCGACGGTGTCGCGCGAGGCCTCCAGGATCCCCCGCCCCGTCTGGCATGAAGGAAACTGGTCCTGAGGGAAGCGGGTCCTGGAGTCTATCACCGTATTTCGCCTCCACGGGGCCCTCCACGCGGAGATCGACTCAGGATGAAGATCTGCTGCTGGGGAAACGCCACGGGGTCCATGACCCGATTCCCTCAGCACCAGTTTCCTTCATGCCATCTCTTCCCCCTTCATCTTCTCCTTTCCATGTCTGCTCCAAAGCAGTAGCAGAAGGAAACGCGCTCCCTCCTCCCCCTCTTCTTCCTCATCCTCATCCTCTTCCTCTTCCTCCTCTTCCTCCTCCTCCTCCTCCTCCTCCTCCTCCTCCTCCTCTTCCTCCTCCCCTCGAGAACACTTCATCATATGACGCTGTGCATCCTCCTCCTCCTCCTCCTCCTTCTCCTCCGCCTCCTCGTCCTGGTCCTCTCTCTCTCTCACTCTCTCTCTTTTTGTCTCTCTCTCTCTCTCTCTCCATCTCTCTCTCCCCCCCGTCCTCATGCCCCTTCCCCTCCTGCTGCTGTAGCTGCTTGTCGTCATCCTTCTCCTCCTCCTCCTCCTCCTCCTCCGTAGCCATTTTGGCTCAAGATGCATAGTTCCTCAGTGGAACAAGTGGATACCGCTAGTCCGCGGCAGACAAGACCCTTGGCGGTCTGGCAGAGATTGTTCCTCGTACTGACGCTCGCCCCCACGGGTAAACGGAGGCTTTTCCCGTTCCTGTGCGTACGAACGTCCCAGTCGCAATGGGGCTTCCCGATGCTGCGGCGCTGGCCCAGTGCGCCCAGGAGATCGAAGACATGCCCACCTTCCCTGACGATGATCGTGCTGATGGCCGCCGTGTCCGGGGCTCGCCTGAGCCCAAGTATCCGCGCACCGAGGAGGGCAAGGGATCCTCAGGCAGTGGCAAGGGTGTCGCCAGCCTGGCCTCCCGCGCTGCCGCTGCTGGTGCCGCGCTCGTCTTCGGGCGCTCGGATCAGCTGGCTCATTCTCCTGATCAGCCTGCTGTCGGTGCTCCTGTGCATGCTGGTGGCTCCCCTGCAAGTTCTGACCACGCTCGTGCACCCGCTGGGCATGCTGCTCACGACTACCCCGACGAGTATATCAAAGCTGTCATCGCCGATGGTGTTGCCTCCCAGTTCAGCGAGCTGCGCACGGAGCTCGAAGGTCTCGTCGCCTCGACTGTGGGCGACACTGTTAAATCCAGCAACGCCTCCATCTTGCGGACCCTGGCTGTACTGCAGAAGCAGTTGGGAGATCAACCAGCAGAGCTTGACCAGAAGGCGATGGCTACTTTCCGACCGCAGCTCGACGAACTGTCAAGGAAGATGCAGCGAGAAATCGATGATGTCACAGGAAAGGTTGCCACTCTCAGCATCGAGCTGGACTCACACACAGAGCAGCTGCGCCAATTACGAGCAGAGATTGCCGAGCTACGTGAAGGACTTCATGTGGCCAAGCGCCAGGAAGCGGCCCCCTCGCCGCCCGCCAACTTCGACCGCCAGACAGACCCTGCCGTGGTGGTCGCGATGTGTACCAAAATGGTTGGTTTGTCACAGGTACGCGATGTGCTGGCGCCGTTCCTATCTGAGCTCGGATTCGAAGCAGACCAATACACCCTTTCGTGTCCGTCCCCGACTCCTGCCCGCAGGTTTCTCATCAAGTTCAACGGGGCCACAGGCCTCGCCTCTAAGAAGGTCTCGAAGGTGCTCAGCAACCTTCGCCGCAACGATCAGTGGAGGGTGTTCAACGTCGAGGCCTCGGGTGCCGCCGCCGACGGGCGCCTCCACTTGGGGCCCGACAAATCCCCACGCCAGGTCAAGACGGAAATGGCTCTTCGTCGGATCCGTGGTGCGTGTTCTGACAAGTTTGGTGGACGGTGGTCTGTTGACCGTGAGCGAGGCATCCTCACGAGCGGATGGACCAGCGTGCTCAAGATCCAGGCGAACCCTGAGGACGCTCCGTACACCGTGCAGTTCAACCAAGAGGGCATCTTGGACCTCAAGCTCACGCGTGCCGACATCCAAGCAGTGGTGGATGAAATTACCGCCCCTCCGCCTCCTACGACATTGTGTCTTTGACGGCTTCATGCAGCTCTTCCACACTCCGTCCCGTGGGAATGAGAATGAATCGATGCGACTCATCACTTGGAATGCTCGAGCTCTGTTACAGTACCGAGGAGCGAAGAGTAGACTCAAGTCGTCATATTTGAAGAGATTTCGCCTTCCTGGGTCCATCCTTGCACTTCAGGAAGTTCATCAAGATCGTCTGCAACTCGAAGACTATCTCTGTCGTCTTCATCGGGATGCTGTGGTCCACGCCTCGTTTTGCGCTGCCGATGTTGGGGGATCATCTGCAGGAGGGGTCGCCGCTATCTTACCGAAGCTCGCATCTGAGCTCGATGTTACCAGCAATGCTTCGGCCGTCGTGCAAGGAGGGGTCCTTCGAGTCGACGTAGTCGGGCAGGGGTTTCAGCTGGTGCACTTCAATATCCACAATCATGGTCTCAATGCAATGCAGATTGACGAGATATGTGCGGAGATCGACGCTGCGCGGGTACGGGCAGCCGCTGACCCTCTTCACTTCTTGGTGGCCGTGCAGGGCGACCTCAACTTCGGCCCTGATGAGGCGTTGCTCCTCCAACGGCCTGAACCAGCTCGTGCTACTGATCCTCGGAATCATCGTGCAATGGCAGCTCGGTGGCTGAGGACATTAGGACTTTTTCTGGAGATTTCTTCGGAGTCACCGACGCACTACACAAAGGACACCAACTCGGTCAGCTGCCTCGATCGGTTCTTCTGCTCGGTGCCAGGATGGATGATGTGCCAAATGTGTGCGGAGTCCTCCACCATCGGAGAGCCCGAAGAATTATCTCGTTCTTTGATATCGGACCACGCTGCTCTGCTCACGGTGCTTCGTCAACGTCACGCGCGCCCCAGATCTGAGCAGCCAGTTCCTCGCCATATCTTCGAGAGCCCTCTTTTTTCGGCAGCGTATTGAGGGCATGTTCAAAGACGGCGCTGGCGCTGAGACGGTGTGCTTGGCGGCAGTCTACCAGGAACACTTCAAGGATATGTTGAAAGAGGCTGCCCGTGAAGTTCGTGACTGGATGTTTGTCCACCATCCTGCTGGCGACGAAACAGCGTTGCTCGTTGCCCGAGGATGTGCGCGAGCAGTATGGCGTCAAGATCTTCCTCTCGCCCGTCGGCTGGTGGCGACCTCGGCTGCCGCAGCTGGCATGCTCGAGATCGGAGGTTCACAAGTCGTCCTTCGGCATCCTGAATCGTTCCACATGTGGACGGATGGGGTTCATATGAGGCTCCTGGAAAAAGAGATTTGTGCTGCCGCTGACGCTGCTGCAAGCTCTCGTTCGACCCGTCCGCCTTCTTCGTTTCGTCGTCGTCAGTTGTTGGAGCGCCAAGCTGCGATCTGGGCCCCGTTCTCACGGAGGTTGGTTCTGCGTGCTGTTCGAGACGGCAATCGGCTTGCTGCTTCTCCTGAGGAAAGGGTTGCTGCCCTCACGGAGTATTGGCGTCCTGTCTTCTCGCGCTCGGAAGTCGATCTCGAAGCCGCTCAGACTTATATCGAACAGCAGTGTCCCTCACCTGTGCTCCCAGACGTCCCACCACCTTCGAAAGCGACGCTTCGAAATATTGTTTCTCGTGCTCGCCACTCTGCCCCTGGGATCGACGGACTGCCGTACGCCGCATGGGCTGCTGCCGATTGCTGCCTGGAAGTATTATGTCTTACCATGGACTGGATCTTGCGGGGCCAGTCTCTCTTCGACTCGGCCAGCGTTACTCTGCAAGCGTACCTGCCTAAAGGATCGGAACACGAAGACCTGGCCTCTGGGGGCTGCATTCGCACTGCAGATAAGATCAGGGCCCTTGGGCTGCGCAACACCGGCTTGAAAATACTGACGTCTGCCGTGAACCGATCACTTAAAGGTGTCGTCGACTCCCTCGTCCCCCAGTCGCAGCGCGGCTTCGTTCAGGGTCGGAACTTTGGGTACAACATCCTGGAGCTAGACGGCTTCAGTCGTATCGCTGGGGCCCACCCGCTGGCCCCGTCTAGGATGCCGCTGCTGGTCTCGTTCGATTTCGGCCAGGCCTTCCCGAGCCTCTCCCAGGAGTTCATGATGCTTTTCCTCGCTCACCTTCGCCTGCCACTCCCAGTGATGCATTTTCTGACCTGGTTGTACTCTGCGATAGAAGGGGTCGTGGCCTACGGTGGCCTGCTCCACTCGGTGTATTGGCTGAGGTCGGGGATCATACAGGGCTGCGGCCTGTCTGGGACCTTGTGCGCGTTGTGCACGGCCCCGTTCCTGATCGACCTGGAATGCTCTCTGGGGGATTCTGGACTTGGCCTGGCTAGGGCCTGCGCGGACGATATTGGGGCTGTCTTGTTCGAGGCTCGCGGGCTCCAAGTGCTACACCGTGCGATGACTACTACGAGGCTCTTTACTGGGCTTTGCCTCAAGGTCAGTAAGTGCAAGGTCACCCCGCTGCACGAGACGTTTGGCCCTGATCTTCAGGAAAGAACACGGGCTCTCCTCGGTCGGCTTGTTCCCGAATGGCAGGCTTTCGAGGTCGCGGCCCACCTGTTGTACCTTGGCGTTCTCTTGGGACCCGACGTCACGATCCAGATGCAATGGGGCGCTGCTCGGATGAAACTAAAGTTACGGGCCAGGCTCCTTGGTTCTGGCTCCGCTCCCTTGGGGATCAACGGCGTGCTCTACCGATCAAGAGCCCTCCCTGTCTTGTCCTACCTGGCTCAGTTCTTCCCCCTGCCTCCCAGGATGGTCGCTTTCGAGCTCTCTGTGCTGACTCAGGTATTCCGTGCTCCCATGGGTACTCTGTCTGCCTCTGGCTGGGCCCAGCTCTCTGCGTGGGGTGGCCCCAAGATCCCACTCATGCAACATACATGTGCCGCTGCGTTGACCCGAGCTGCCACCATCACGTTCAGCGAACATACCCACATACGCTCTAACATTACTAACACTACCCTTTCTTGGAATGATGATCTGCTGCAGGGAAGATTCGATGATGCTTCCCTCGCGACCAGTCGCACTCGGGTGGATTGGATGTGTGACGCTGGACGGCACTGGCGGCTACCGCCCATCCTGCAGACCTATTCCTGGCTGCAGCAAGGCTCTGCGTGTGCTGGCTACCCTTCGGACATCCTACGCTGCTGTACGTCTGCTATTGCTTCGGAACTGTTGGTCACGGGACGTGCACTCAAACTTCAGAGAGCAGCCACCACAGCACTATACGAGCAGTTCGTCACACCGTTCCCGTTGTACGTGATCTTCGAGACCAGGCTGGCACGCTACTTTACTATGTATGAACCCTTCTTACATCGGGTGCCGTGGGAGGCGATTCAGATGCTGATGCAGCTGCTGCCCACGAGCTGGGTCTTCCCTGTTATTAAGACATGGGCCTCTGCTTGGTTCACAAGTTATCGAATAAGTTACTCTTCTGGAAAACGGCGGTGTATCTTTGGGTGTCATACTGGTGCTGACAGGCAGTGCCACTACATGCGGTGCCAGCGCCTTGTTCGGGCTGTCGGCCGTGCTCTGGGTCGCTCACTCCCTACCTTTCTTCATGAGCGACTGTGCCTGACGGCGCCATGTGTGGAACGGGTGGAGGAGCTGGTGGTTATGTACACTACGTATCACACTGTTCGTTATCGTGAGGGAGTTACTACTACTGCTCTGAACTCTGCGACTCGGGCTGCGGTCAGAACTCTTCGAATGGCGTCTCCAACAGACCAGCTGGATAAGAAATGGAAGCCGCCGCTGTTCTTCATACCGACACTGCTCACGGTCACCGATGATCTCTCCACTTCCTCGGCTGACGACCCCGACGTCGACCATGCCGCGCGGGACGCTGCGAACGGGGAAGGCTTGGCCCCTGGCCGGTCTCCATGCCTGACACCACGGCTCGTTCCTGCGACGCCAAGCCCTGGCACTCCGTCGACGCTGATCGCCACACCCGAACGTGTTGGACAGTGAAGGTTGTGGCGTCAATGTTACTGGCAGAACGCAAAGTCCTGTGCACGGGTGCTCCTCGAGCCCGTTGCTGCAGGCTCAGTCGTCGCCGTTGTTGCTGGATGTCACTGGCAGAACGCAAAGTCCTGTGCAAGGGTGCTCCTTGAGTACGCGGCAGCAGGCTCAGTCGTCGCCTATGCCGCTGGAAGCTACTGGCAGAACGCAAAGTCCTGGGCACGGGTGCTCCTCGAACCCGTCGCTGCAGGCTCAGACGTCGCCAACGTTGCTGGATGTTGGTGGAAATCCTGGCCACCGCGCTTCAAGAATGACCTGTGAGCGTGGCGACGAAAATAATCTGCCGCTCGCATGCACGTACGGTCCCCACATCCAAAGCGTGGCCGTCCGCCGCTCACGTGGCTCCGTGGTTGTCCTCTCGACCCGCCCTCTTGCTCCTGCTGAGGTCCCTCCTGCTGCTGCCTCTCTCCCTCGCTCTCTCGCGCCGCCTCCCGCGGCCATGATTGAAACGTCGCTCGCTGCCCACATGCATGTGATGATCGACATAGGCAGGCGCCCGCCGCCCGTCCCGCCGCCTGCTGCCGCCGCCCTTGCTTCTCTTTCCTCCGCTCTGGTCGCTGGCGAAGCCAGTTGCTCGAGTGTGGAGAGGTGTGTTCAGCAGTTGAGCTGAGCACAGTGGTCGGTCGGAGGCACCTCTCCTCTACGCTGCGCTCCTCCTCCTCCTCCTCCTCCTCCTCCTCGTCCTCCTCCTCCGCCCCGTCTTATCACCCTTCTTGTACGATGCAAGCTCGAGGGGCCCTGTCTGCCCTGAAAGTGGCTGTATCCTTGTACCTGACGTGGGTTTTCGCGGACTCGGCGTGGATTCGGCGTGGGTTCGAGGCGGATCCAACGTGGATTCGGCGTGGATTCGACGAGGCAAACGTGGCTTCGACACGGATTCAACGCGGAAGCGGCGTGATGTGAGAAATCATGAGCCCGAAGGTGCAGCATAGCCTCCACTCTTTTCCCCTCCCCTTCCTCTCCACGTTTTGGTCCGCGTGGGGCGTCGCTCCGCTGGGCCCCCCCCCGCAGCGGCGCAGCAAGGCGGCGACAGCAGTGCGCTTGGCAGCGCCCCGGGAGAAGCGACGGGAGACACGGGAGACGCAGAGAGAGAAAGAGAGAGAGACGAGAGAGGATGAGGCACAGAGGCATGCGCGGGCTTGAGGGGTAGGGTTGGTATCAACTCTCCCCGAGAAGGCCTACGCCTGGTTCGCCCAGCGCAGGTTGTCTGTGGTAGGTTTAGGGTAGGTTGAGCTGACCACTCTACCCTTCCCTTTCCCCCCTTTCCCCTTTCCCCTTCCTTCCTTCTGCCTCTGCACCTGTCTTAGGCTGCGCCTTTTGAGCGCATGCCCCTCTGGACGTTCGTGACGCCAGTGTCGCCAGCACGAGACGCGAGAAGGGGAGCAGGAGGGGTCCGAGTCAACCACGAGGACCCAACACAGGATGGTTCGGAGGCAAGTGGGAAATACCTCGATGCTCGATCCTCAAGGCTCGAGGATCGAAGCCGCCCGTGGCATTGGATGATATGGCTGCATTTTTCCTGCCGATCTGATGGATGGGTTAGCTGTCTCACGGGTCTGCGAAGCAGGTATGCGCAGGTCGGTTGAGTGGTCAAGTATTTTGAGCCAGTCCTCCGCACCCTCGTCGTCGTTGTCGTCCTGGCCCTCCTCCCTCATCCCTCCTCATGCTCCCCCCTCCCCTTTCCCTACCCCGCCGCTTTCTCATCCTCCTCCTCCTCCTCCTCCTCCTCCTCCTGCTCCTGCTCCTTCATAGGGGACGTTCGCTCCTCCATCCTCCTCCTCCTCCTCCTCCTCCTCCTGGTCCTCCTCCTGGTCCTCCTCCTCCTCCTCCTCCTCCTCCTCCTCCTCCTCCTCCTCCTCACTCTCTCTTCTTCTTCCTCCTTCTCGTCCTTCTCCCGCTCATCCTCGCCGACCCCGGGCATTCGCTCCAGGCCGTCCCGCCGAAGGCCCCGGCCCGACGTCGGCCCCCAGAGGCCGAGCTCGCGCGGGAACCGCCGCCGCTGGCGGCTCGTTTGCTGCGTTCCCCCCCTGTAGCCCACCCCCTCCTCCTCCCTCCCTCCTCCGTCCTCCCCTCCTCCTCCTCCTCCTCCTCCTCCTCCTCCTGGTCCCCCTCCTCTCCTCCTTCCTCCTCTCCTCCTCTCCTCCTGCCTCCTCCTCCTCCTCCTCCTCCTCCTCCTCTCCCCTCCTCCCTCCTCCCTCCTCCTCCTCCTCCTCCTCCTCCTCTCCTCTCCTCCTCCTCCTCCTCCTCCTCCTCCTCCTCCTCCTCCTCCTCCTCTCCTCCTCCTCTCCTCCTCCTCCTCCTCCTCCTCCTCCTCCTCCTCCTCCTCCCCTCCTCCTCCTCCTCCTCCTCCTCCTCCTCCTCCTCCTCCTCCTCACTCCTCCTCCCTCCTCCCTCCTCCTCCTCCTCCTCCTCCTGGTCCCCCTCCTCCTCCTCCTCCTCCTCCTCCTCCTGGCCCCTCCCAGGAGGAGGGGGCCCGTGCCGGCGCTCCGCGGCCGTCCCCGCCAGGAGCCCGAGGGCTCGCCGCCGGCGTCGCCCAGCCGCACGTCGCGGTGCCCTCGCGAAAGGGGCGGGGGCGGGGGGGGAGCCTCGAGGGGGTCGGGCCGGACGGGAGGGGGCAGTCGGCGGGTGCTTCGAAGATGTGGGCTTGGAGGGATGAGGGATCGGGATCCCGCAAAGAGGGGGCAGGATCTTGCAGGATCCCGAAGCGCCGGACGGGCCCCGGTCTGGATCGGCCCGGGTCAGGGGATCCCCGAGCGTGGCTGGTTTGGCTGGCCCCCTTTTGCTGCCTCCCCCGTTTGCCCATTCCCTGGAATGGGCAGACGGCCCGATCTGCGAGCGCCTCCTGCGTCGCGGCGCGGCAGAGGCAAGCCGCACGCGCGTCTGTGCGAGGCCAGGGCACGGTGTCGCGAGTCAGCTCGCCTGCGAGACGGGCGGCCGCGGAGGGGGCTAGGCAGGGCGCGGGGGCATGCTCACACAGCGAGGCTGCACCGGGTGCGCGGGCGCGGCCTGGTTGAGGGGTCACCCCTGGCAGCGGCTGCGGGTCGGCGTCGCAGTGCACCCAGGGGGGGGGCTGATTCGCGAACACCCCGTGCATTTGCCCAGTCTTGTCCGACCGCAGAGGACGTGGGAACGGACGGGCCTAATACAGATGTGGCAGTTTTTGAGCGTTCGTCTTTTGTCGGTCTATCTTCTCCCTCTGCATGCGTGCGGGGGTCTCCAGAGACTTCCAGAGTCCTCCGAGGACCTCATCGGACCTGATGGGTATGATGATGGTGATGATGATGATGATGATGATGATGATGATGATGCTGATGATGACGATGATGATGATGATGATGATGATGATGATGATGATGGAAGTCCTGATTAGGCTGATGAGTATGATGATGCTGATGCTGATGCTGATGCTGATGCTGATGCTGATGCTGATGATGATGATGATGATGATGATGATGATGATGATGATGATGATGATGATGATGATGATATGACGATGATGATGCTGCTGATGATGATAATGATGATGGTGGTGTTGTTGGTGATGGCGATGGCGATGTTGACTGATGCTAATGGGGATTAGGATGCGGAGGCAGAGGAGGAGTTCGAGGAAGATGAGGATGAAGGGGAGAAGGGCGGGGGAGGATACGAGGACGATAAGTGATTATGACGACGAGGACGACGACGAGGAGGATGAGGAGGAGGAGGAGGAGGAGATTGGAGAAGGAGTCGGGAGGGAAATGAGCAGGGTGAGAAAGTGGAGATCGAGGCCTGGAGTTCGCATCACGCCCCCCTCGCACTACCCAGGCCGAAGCCTCGCCGAGAATTTGTTGCTCCTCCCCCCGGGGGGGCGAGGATGAGGGCGAGCTGTGTCCGTTGACACTCGTCCTCGTCGTCGTTCGTCGCTGTCGCTCGTCGCCGTCGTCGCCGTCGTCGCCGTCGTCGTCGTCGTCGTCGTCGTCGTCGTCGTCGGTGCTGCCGTCGGTCGTCGCCCGTCGTCGCTGGTAAGTTTTGCTCCCGCCCAGGGCCCTGCAGGTCCCCGAAGATCCCCAGAGGTCCCCGGAGACCCCTGGGGGGCCCCTGGGGCCTCTGGAGGCCTGGGGAGGCGCTGCGAGGACCAAGAGCGTCCTAAAACCTCCCCCTCTCTCGACCCTGAAGGATCTAGGCGTCGCAAAACGTCCCAAAACCTGGCAGTTGTCGCTCGTCGCTCGTCGCTCGACGTCGTCGTCGTCGTCGTCGTCGCCGTCGTTGCTCGTCGCTCGTCGTTCGTCGCTCGTCATCGTCGGCCGTCACTCGTCGCTCGTTGTCGCTCGTCGTCTCTCGTCGTCGCTCGTCGTCTCTCGTCGTCGCTTGTCGTCGGTCGTCGTCGCTCGCCGTCGCTCGTCGTCGCTGTCGCTCGTCGCTCGTCGGCCGTCGCTGGCGCCCCCTCTGCGCTTCTAAAGGTCCACACGGCACCTCGGCGCCGAACCGGGCCAGATGGACCTGGAGCGCGTGCAGTCGAGCTTCTGGGATGCGTTCAAGGCTGCGAGCGAACTCGTAGAGCCAAGGGAAAAGGGAGGTGGCGGCGGGAGAGGGAGGGGCGTGAGGGAGGAGGTAGGAGGAGAGGGGGCGAGGGGGGAGAGGAAGAGGGAAACCAGGAGGTGGGTGGACGAGAAGGAGGATGAGAAGGAGGGAGTGGGAGGAGGAAACATGCGGAGATGGGGAGATGATGGGGATGAGGATATGGACGAGGACGAGGAGGACGAGAAGGATGAGAAGGAGGAGCAGGAGGAGGAGGAGGAGGAGGAGCATGAGGAGGAGAAAGACGAGCAGGACAGAGTTGTTAAGGGGATGGTTGTGGTGATTGATCATGATGGTGATGCTGGTAGTGAATATTATGATGAAGCTGCTGCTGATAATGCTGATGATAATGATGAGTCGGATGATGATGCTGCTGATGATGATGGTGATGGCGATGGTGATTGTGATGGTGATGGTGGTGATGGGCGGGATGAGGATGAGGAAGAGAAGCAGGAGGAGGAGGAGGAGGAGAAGGAGTAGGAGGATGAGGAGAAGGAAAAGGAATAGGAGAAGATGCATGAGGAAGATTGTTTGGGGGAAGGAGGAGGGGGCAGGATGAGCAGCAGAAGCAGTTGAGAGGAGCAGGGGTAGGATGAGGAGGGGGAGAAAAGATGGCACGGGAGGAGGAGGAGGAGAACCAGTGTAAACCCAAGGCTCATCAACGATGTTGGAATCAATTCTCCACCACGTTTCCTTTTCATGGGCTCCATACAAGGGTTCATTTCCACTGAGGGAAGTGCTTCGTTGGGGGGACAACCGGGTGACAATCTTGACCCGTGCCAAAACACCATTCTCAGGACCTCAGCGCCACGAGTCAACTTGATTGTTGCGTCTTGACGACCCTGGATCATGCCAGAACGCCATTCCTAGGACTTCAGCACTGCGAGTCAACGTGGCTGTTGCGCCCTGATAATCCTGAGTCGTTCCAACACACCAATTCTGGAATGTGCGCGTTTTTTTCAATCACCATTGGGATCCTTGCAAACGTTTGAAACAAATGTGCGCGGCGCTAAGGTGAGAACCACATTTTGAAAAAGCGCCGCTCTCAATCCGTGAAGTTTTTGCATTTGAAACGAATGTGCGTGGCGCTCGGGCAAGAGCCACATGTTGAAAACGACCCGCCCTCAATCCGTGAAGCTCCTGCAACGTTTTCAAACGAATGTGCGCGGCGCTAAGGCGAGAGCAATGTCTTGAATACAACCTATCCTCAATATGTGAAGTTCTTGCGTCTGTTGCAAAAAAACGTGCGGGGCCCTAAGGCGATAGCCGCATCTTGGGAGCGGCCCTCGCTCTATCTGTGAAGCTGTTGTCAGTTTGTAAGCCTCAGTTCAGACCCAGAAGTGGTAAGGAAGTCTCAGGTAAAACGCCCGGCTCGCCCTTCCGACTGGCCTCGGGGTACGACTGGGAGGAGTTATTCAGAGGGACAGGGAAAGGCGTGTGTAAGTGTGTGTGTGGTTCTGCGCCCTGTTGCTGCACGCAGGGCCGCGACGCCAAAGTGTGCGTGTTTGGTGAGGAAAAGGAAGAGGATGAGGAGAAGGATGAGGACGATGATGATGATGATGATGATGATGATGATGATGATGATGATGATGATGATGATGATGATGATGGTGGTGGTGGTGGTGGTGGTGGTGGTGGTGATGATGATGATGATGATGATGATGGTGATGGTGATGTTGATGTTGATGTTGATGTTGATGATGATGATGATGATGATGATGATATGATGATGATGATGATGATGATGAGGAGGAGGGAGGAGGAGGAGGAGGAGGAGGAGGAGGAGGAGAGGAGGAGGAGGAGGAGGATGAGGAGGACGAGGTGGAGAAAGAGGAGGAGGAGGAGGAGGAGGAGGAGGAGGAGGAGGAGGAAGTGGTGCACGAGGAGAGAGATGTGAGCAATGTGGCCTTTCGCAGAATTAACGATCATCCAGCTCGAATTTCGGCTCGAGGTTTTTCCAAGATTTTTCGAGCTCTGGTGCGATTTCAGGCGACCGAGCCTCGGAGAGGAGAGAGGGAGGGGCAGGACTATCTTTTACTAGAGACTGGGAGTCCAAGAAGGTTCTAGAAGGCTCTTACGGGTTCAGAGGGTTCTCCCTCCATCAGTCCCTCCTCCCTCCCTCCCTCCCTCCCTCCCTCCCTCCTCTCTGTTCTCCCCCTGGTTTTCCCCCCCCCCCCCCGCTCCGAGAGGCGGTGATGTCCACTCGCGGGATCAGTCGGATCCCGATGGACCCCATCGCCATGCTCAGGCGCCGCAGCAAGGATGCCGAGCGGTACGAGGCCCTGGCCCAGCGGCTTCCGCGATGGAGCGACGTCGACCTGCTCGGGGAGCTCTGCGTCGCTGCGCTCTACAGCCGGCGCCGCAGAATTGAGAAACCTGCCCTCCTGGCACGGGGTCCCCTGGGAGTGCCCGGAGTCGTCTCCGACTCAGGGCACTCCCAGGGGCCATAGGGGCGCTGCGTCTGCACCGTGCCGAAGTAGAGCAAATGGCGTCCTTGGGGCCCCTCGTCCTTGGGGGGTGCCCCGTCCCTGGATTGCTTGACAGAGGGCACCACATCGTCCTCAGGGCCGCTCATAGCTCCGAACGCTTCTGCTCATCCAGTGTGCTGCTCCTCTGCGGAGGCGCCCACTGCTGGCTCGGGGACGCGCCCCTGCAGTCGGGCTGGCTCGTGGGGGTCGGCCCCGCCGGCTCGAGGGCGCCCCTGGTGCCCTGGCTGTCGTGGTTCCGCCTCCCTCCGCATGTCTCCAGAGCACCGGGCTGCTCTCGGAAGTGCCGTGGAGGAGGAGGAGGAGGAGGAGGAGGAGGAGGAGGAGGAGAAGGAGGAGGAGGACGAGGAGGAGGAGGAGGAGGAGATGGAGGAGGAGGATGAGGAGGAGGGGAGCATGATGATGAGGAGGAGGAGGAGGAGGAGGATGAGGAGGAGGAGAAGGAGGGAGAGGAGGAGGGGGAGGAGGAGGAGGAGGAGGAGGAGGAGGAGGGGGTAGTCGGGGTAGTCTGTTCTCTCGGGTGCCGTCTGCCCTCGCCGAAGAGAAAGCAGACACCATAAGCATGGATTTTCGCAGGGCCGCGCGGATTTCTTGGATCGGCGCTGGGCCCCCCTCCCTGGTCGCGCGAAGAGCGCCAGGGTGCGGTGCCGGAGGCGGTGCCCAGGGGGTCCTGAGCCGGGCCAAGCAATCCGCGAGGACCTTCGGAATGTGATGCTTATGACGCTGTCGGTTGCTCTAAGTCAACCCCGACTGTGCTGCAAGACTTCTCCATTCCCGGCGTGGGCTGTGACCGAGGGCGGCGTACGGCTTCGTCGCCCGGAAGGGCCTCTTCGACTCGCTCGTCGCCGGAGCGCAGGTGTTCTCGCTCCAGAAAGCCGTTTTCGACGTGTCCACGGACGTGGACGATGCCACCAACAAGCGGGCCTTCTTGGATATGTCGGGGGCGTCCAAGAGGGGGGTTGAGGACTCGGGGCGTGGCTGTCAAGGCCGGGGCCTGGCATCTCCCGGATTTCATGGCCCCGGCCTTTTCATTTTTTCAGCATTTCTTTGTTGCCTTTCTTCTGATCATGGGATAGTATTTTGTTCTTGGTCGTTCACTATCATGGATGTAATATTATTATCATGTGTCCTTGTCTTTCATTCTCATGGGACCTTCTTCGTGTTGTCTTTTCTCATTATTTCAACACGTCCCTTGGCCCCTGCACTCTCCGCGCACATGCCTCGGGCCCTGGTGCGCTAGCCCCCCGCCTCTTGGCCCCCCCTCTTTGGCGCCCCCGAGACATGCTCGGCCTGTGCTCGGACGACCTCCTCCACGCGCAGTGGAAGGTCGAGGGCACGTTCTGCCCCATCTTCGCTGTCGCCCGCGACGACGAGATGAAGTGGATCGTCGTTGCCGTCAGGGGCTCTGGAAGGGAGGGAGAGGAGGAGGAGGAGGAGGAGGAGGAGGAGGAGGAGGAGGAGGAGGAGGAGGAGGAGGAGGAGGAGGAGGCGGAGGAGGAGGAGGAGGAGGAGGAGGAGAGCATGAGGAGGAGGAGGGAGGAGGAGGAGGAGGAGGAGAGGAGGAGGAGGAGGAGGAGGAGGAGGAGCAGGAGGGGGGGCAGGAGGGAGCAGGAGGAGGAGGAGCAGGAGGAGGCCAACCCACCTGCACACTTCACCTGGCCTCCGTTGCTTCTCCCTCCTCCACGCCGCCTCGCTGTGCAGCCGCCTGCTCTGTCCACGGCGCCTCTAGCCTCACCCGCCGCCCCCCCCCCCCCTCCCCAACAGCCACCTCCGGTGCGCCTGCCACGCTGCACGCACCCGGGAGCAGCTGCACCTCTCTCTGCTTCCTTGGACCTCGGGACGGGATCCGAGGGCGGAGGGCCTCACTCCAGGAGAGGCGCACCGGGAGGGCGGGAGGAAGGGAGGGATGGACGTGGGCCCGTTCCTCCCCCCTCAGGGAGGGTGGGGGCCCCACTCTCTCGGGCCACATCCGCACGAGCACCCCCCCTGGCCCCTGCGCATGCAGGCGCCCACGGCCTCCTCGCCCACCTCCGCTCCCAGGTGCTGCAACAGGGTCAGAGGCCGTTCCGCCGCTCCGTCGTTCTCTCTCCTCTCCTCATCCCATTGTCGTGTGTTTGCCCCCCCCCCCCCCCCCAGCACTTAGCTGGCGGAGGGCCCGCCTCAGGCTTCAGCTGGATAAGCAGGCGAGTCCTCAGCTTCGAGGCTTTGAGGCGTCCGCAGCTTCGAGGAGGAGGAGGAGGAGGAGGAGGAGGAGGTGGAGGAGGAGGAGGAGGAGGAGGAGGAGGAGGAGGAGCAGGAGGTGGAGGCGGAGGAGGAGGAGGAGAGGGAGGAGGAAGAGGAGGAGGAGGAGGAGGGAGGAGGAGGAGGAGGAGGAGGAGGAGGAGCTAACTGTCCGCAATCCGCGCGGATTCCTTGGATCGGCGCTGGACCCCTCTCCCTGGCGCGCGGAACGCGCCAGGGGCGGCGCCAGAGGCGCCGCCAGGGGGCCCCAGCGCAGATCCACGAACTCTGCGCGGACCTCCGACAGCGCATGCGCACGCCGCTGATTCCCTTAGGAAGAGGAGGATGGACGAGGGTGACAGGTGCCGGCGGCTCAAAGCTGGGGCCCCGAGGCAGGAGGCCCTGAGGACGAAGGGCCTCGAACAGTGTGGGGGGCATCGGGAATTACAGTCGGGGCGCTGAGGAAGGAACCCTTTGCGTTGGGGAGGGGCTCGGTGTTCCTTGATTGTTTCAAAATTTGCTCAGGATTTTCCTGAGGTTTTCCATGGGAAATCGAGGTTCAACCTGTGGAAAAAGGGGCCTCGTTCCTTATTTGGGGTTCCTTAGGTCAACGCCTCGACTGTAGGGGGTACGACATCTGCTGCAAGCAGCTGGTCTCGGCCCGGCCGCCGGGCGCCTGCCCTCGGTGCGCTGGCGCCCCTGGCGCCGGGAGGCGCTGGGGTGAGCAGCTGCGCGAGCTGTTTCGTTAGCTCCCCCTTTTGATGGGCCCCTTTCCACCACCACCACCACCACCACCACCACCACCACCACCACCACCACCACCACCACCACCACCACCACCACCACCACCACCACCACCATAAGTTGGAGGAGGAGGGTGTCCTCTTCCTCCACCTCCTCCTCCCTCTCCTCTTCGTCCTCCTCCTCCTTCCCCCCCCTCCAACTTCTGGTGGTGGTTGGCTGTGGAGAAGAGACCCATCACCTTTGCCATCCCCGCCCCTGGTCCGACCCGAATCTGCGACCTGCCTGAGCGGGCCGCCGGTCTGTGAGAGCTGTCGATCGATCGGGCGGGAGGGTGCCCGAGCGGACGCTCGATCGGCGGGGCGGTCGGATCGGGCCCGCCAGAGCAGGGTCGGGGCCCATGCGCGAGTTTCGCCAGGTGTTCGGACGTTTCCGTTTCGAGGTGTTCGAGGTTCCAGGGCAAGGTTTCAGTCGGGCCTGTCCCTCTCCATGAGGGATGTTCAAGAACAGTCAAACAACAGTCTGGGGACGGTTCTTGTCGACAATTGTTGTAATGTCTCAAGTTTCTGGCATTTTTCATCCAGCATCCGCCTGTAAGAGGACATGCCCGACCTAAGGCAAGGGGTGCCCTGATTGTCCAGAGCGGCTCCCGGAGAGCCAAGCTGTGACCCGAAAGCAGGGGGTCGATGGTCCACGTGGGGCGCTCCAGAAAGGGCCTCGTCTTCGGCGGTGGAGGGTGTTGGCACTTCTTCTTCGGCGGGAGGCGGCGGGAGGCCAGCCGGCGGCTGCGGACGTGAAGCGTGGGCGGCGCCGCTGGCGGCAGCTTGCGGAAGCCGGTGGAAGTAAAGCATGCGCCCAAAAGGTAGTTACCCTGCACTTTTCAGCTCTGGTCCAGGGTTGGCTGAGTCGGACATGTAGCGGGAGATTCAGTCGATCAATGTTTGGGTCTTTGCTGCCCTCACTGCGCTTCTGTTTGCGTGCTGAAGGGCTTCCGTGCAAAAAGCGTACGCAACATATGTAGCCTTGGCACATGTCTTCGGATCATTTGAGTAGGCGCCTCAAGTCAGAGACCAGCTTGCCGACATGTGCCCACATAAGTCCCTTACGTAGTCACGGATGGCTCTAGGGATTTAGTGACTTCTGGGACACCTTATGGGATCGAGGGGAAGGTACCTCTAAATTTGTTTCCACGTTCGGACGCACAACGCCCATACACGCACATGTTTGGAGGTCTGCGCAGATTTCTTGGGTTGGCGCTGGACTCCCCCTCTCCACACGCCTGGCGGTGCCTCGGGCGACGCCCCTGGTCATTTAATGTGGGGGTGGGGCTTTCAAGTTTCAACAACTCCGTGTGTTAGGTCATCATGTCGCCACTGTCCCCGTTCCAGGCAGAGCGATTCTTACATCTTCGGTTGTTCACAGCGAACCTGGCCGCTCCTTTTGGGCCCGGGCGCAGGCGACCCCCACACCGCTGTATCTGGCATCTGATAGCTGGCATGTCAGGGGAATGGGTCTCCAAGGTCAGGGGCTCCATCTCAACCACGGACGTCCTCACAGACCTCGCGGCCAAGAACGTGCCGTTCCTTGAGGGCACCGCGCACGAGGGGATCCTGGCGACCACCGAGCGGCTCGTCGGCGAGCTGGATGTGTTGCTGCCAGGAGCGGGAGGAGGAGGAGGAGGATGAGGCGGAGGAGGAGGAGGAGGAGGAGGAGGAAAGGGAGGAGGAGGAGGAGGAGGAGGAGGAGGAGGAGGGCAAGTGTGTCCGCGACTCGGCTCGGTCGGCTGCGTCACTGTCGGCTGCAGTCGGTTGGTTCGGTTTAGTTGGTTGCTGCGTCGCTCGCCCTTCGAGGCTGCGTTCGGTCCGTCGGTTTCGGTCGCTCTCGATGGGCAGCCAGTTCGATCGTTCTTCGGTCCTGCTTCCTGCTGTTAACGTGGACGTCTTGGTAAGGAGGGGGGGAAGGAGGAGCCCGACGCCACTTAGCACGTGAAACGAGGTTGGCCGTATCCAGCCTCCGAGGAGGGGAAACGCGAGGGTTGGCAAGCCCGTGCCTTGAGGGCCACGCTCCCAGCCCATTCAGACCCCGCCGAGCGCCTGCTTCGACACCGTCTCGGGCTCTGGCCGGCCACGGTGCTCTCTGGACACCGCTGCGCAGCTTTCCGGCGTCAGCTGCAGGACATCCAGCTTCATATGCCTCCTCGGGTCCTGGCGGCGGTCTTGCTGGTCGGCCTCAACGGGTGGATGACAGCTCGCCGGTCACAGAGATGTGGGACGTGCGTGATGGGTTGCGAGCGGGGCGACGGCTCGATCCAGCACTACGCCCGGTGCCCGCACTACCATAAGCTATGCCGGCGGCACCTCCGTTCGGAACAGCTGCCGCACGACCTCGCGCCGGACGCATTCCTCTTCCTCCGCCCGCTGGCGATGCGACTTCCGATCGATGCGCCTCCTGAGGGCGGTGCCCGGGCCTCCTCGCTCCGCGCTTTGAGTGTCTGTGCGCTCTACCGCGCGCACAGCTCACGGAGACTCGCTCCCGCAGCGGGCCCCGCCGCGGAGCTGCTTCGCGGTGTTCTGCGAGGAGGGGCGCGGGGCCACGCTCCAGCTGTGGCTCCTGCTGAGCTCGGTGCGCAAGCGCCGCCGCCCAGAGCAGCCCGAAGTTTTTGTGTTCCCTGTTTTTGATTGTCGAGGTGTGGTGACGTTTGCCCGGCCGGCGACGGCACCTCCCTCTGGGTCAGCTTTCTTCTTTCTTCTTCCTCTTCCTCCCCCTCCTCCTCCTCCTCCTCCTCCTTCCCCCCTGGTGCTTCCCTTCTTTCTCCTCCTCCTCCTCCTCCTTCTTTCCTCCTCCCCTCCTCCTTCTTTCCCCTCCTCCCCTCCTCCTTCTTTCCTCTCCTCCTCTCCTCCGCTCCTCCTCCCCTCCTCCTTCTTCCTCTTCCTCCTCCTCCTCCTTCTTTCCTCTCCTCCCCTCCTCCTTCCTCCTCCCTGGGGGTCTTTTTTGGGGAGCGCCCAGGGCGGCACATGTTGTGCTTGCTCTGTCCGTCGCTTTGGCGGTTCTCGGGGTCCTCGTTGGCTGCTTCGCGCTCCCTTTTTTCTCTTTGGCTCGGCACTTCTTTGTCCATCGTGTGTCACAGGGCACCCGGTGCTGCTTCCCGCCCGTTTTCTAGTTTGGGCGAGGCTGTCTTCTACACGCTGCCATGGGGGGGAACGTGGCCGCCTCTGTGTAGAGGCGCACAATATGTCCTGCGCGCCTCTGTCCTCAGCAGGGGGCTGGAGTTGTCCTCCCCAGCTGGCTCCTGCAGCAGGCAGTGTGACATTTTGGTTGTACCGGCCTATCCTCGATTTGAGGCCTGGCTTTGCTCCTTCCTCCCCTGTCGCCTCCCTCCGGCTCCTCCCCCCTTCTTCCCCACCCCGTCTCACCGATACGTTTTGGGGGAATTTCGTATCGCTCCGCGCTCGCACGATTTTGCTTGACGACCGTTCTCCTAAGCAGTGGCGGGAATTCGCTCGCGATGTTCGCTCTGGTCCTCCTCCTCCTCCCTACCTTCTGCACGGATATTGCCCGGGCAATAATTGTCACGGGTGGCTCGGCCCGGCGTTGATTTTTACGTCCGGCTGCTGCGGGGCGGAATTCGGGCAGTTAGTTTTTCCGGAACAACAGGTGTTTAAAACGTCAGGCCTGCCAGTTCTCACTGTCCTGCTTGAGTTTTGCTCCACATCACATTCCTTGTTGAGTCATCGTGTGCGCTCCCATCTTCTCCCTCCCCCCCAAAAAAACTTAGCACGTGAAACGAGTGTCCCACGCCTATTTTCGCTGGCGACACCACTCGAGGCCGCCTGACAATGCGGGAGGGGGAGGCGGAATACGGGGAGACGGGGAGCGGGCGGGAGGAGGAGGTAGGAAACGGAGGGAGGAGCGCATTCGATGATGGAGAAGGAAGGAGCAAGAGGGCGGGAAGATGAAGAGGGTATGGAGGAGGAAGAGGGGGATGACAGGCTAGGTGCGCTCGCGCCATATCTGACATCTTACCCATCCCATCCATCCCTTCCAATTGCGCTGACTGCTTCTCTATCCGCGGACGCGTGTCATACAGACATTGAGCTCCCACAACACGACCCCATCGTGTTATGCGCAATCGGATAAATTGGATCTGCATGCATAGGAAGGGGGGATCAGTAGGATGAAGGGGAGGAGGAGGAGGAGGAGGAGGAGGAGGAAGATGAGGAGGAGGGCGAGAACGAGGAAGAGTAGGAGGGGGAGGAGGAGGAGGAGGAGGAGGAAGAGGAGGAGGAGGTGACGGATGAGCAGGAGGACGAGCAGGAGAAGAAGGAAGAGGATGGAGAAAAGCCGATGAGGACGAGGACGGACAGATACAGCAGGAATTGGAGTGGAAGTAGCGGGAGGAGCAGGTGGACTAGGGGAAGGCGGAGGAAGGGAAAGGAGGGGGGCGCCAACGATGTGGCCCGCGCTGGGGAGACAGCGCCGTTCTGAACTAGGGACGCAGCGCGCCAATCTGAAAATGAGGCCCGCGCTACAACGGGAACGTCATCGAACAAGTCCCCGTTAAAACAAACACAACACAGGCAAATTTTTGAAACCCCGCGTGTGAGAGGCAAGCGCAGCCGCGCCCAGATCTCCGAAGCAGCACGCCGGGCTCACGCTGTTCAAGGCAGGAGCAGCGCCACAATCTGCGTGCGAGCCCAACGTTTCTGGCGCGCCCCCCAGCCGACTCAGCAAGCCGCGGCAGGCGACGGCGCGAGCTGTCTGAAGACCGCCGCAGCGTCGGTGTTTCCCGGGAGCGCTGGGCCCTCGGGCCCGGGCTCCGCGATCCTGCCGCCGTGGCCGTGCCCGATTCGCTGGTCGAGTGTTTTCGGGTCCCGAAGAAAGGCGACGCCTCCGTCGGTAGGGGGCCACATGTGAACCCTACCCCTAGGCCCCCACGATTTCTGAGGGGGAGGGTGGGGTTAACTTCGCTCGGGAGCTCCCGAACGAGGTGAACCCCACCCTCCCCCTCAGAAGTCGTGGGGCGTAGGGGTGGGGTTCGCATGTGGCCCCCTAGTCGGCCGCTTCGTCAAGTCTTGGGGGCGTGTTCACGGCGGAATCTGTTTGGAATTTGTTTTACTCCAGCCCGCCGCAGATGGTCCAACGTCAAGGGGCCAGTCTCTGCTATCATCGCCTCTCTTCTCGACTTTGGGCGCGGTGCTGCCGGACTCCTCGAGTGGCAGGGCCCATTCGAGGAGCGCTGGGCCCCCCCCCCGCGCACGATCCCTCTTCGCTCGCCTCCTTGCCTGTTAGGCAAAGCTCAGGAGTTCGAGCGTCGAGGTGCGACCGAAAGCGCAGCGGCTGCAGGTGCGTCCACGCAGCACTTGGGGTGTGTGGTCTGCTGGAAGGCGTGGGCATGATCAAGTCGCATCAGCAGATGAAGAAGTTTGTCAAAGTTCAGGAGCTTCGGTGCCCTGGTACGCCCGTCTCGAAACGCAACGCGTACCGTGCTCGAAGCGTCCGTGTTAACACGGTGCGTGTTGGCTCGGCACATGTTGGCCTACGTTTTGACCAACGTGTCGCGCCAGATCTACGTTTCCGATCTCCGTGTTGAGCTCCGTGTCAACACGCGACGGGTTGCGTGTTGCGTATCGAAGCAGCTAAGCTCAGGAGTTCGAGCGTAAAGCTGCTATCGAATGCGCAGCGCATGCTGGTGCGTTGCCCGCACGGCGAGTCGCCACATGTGTCATTGGCGAGTTTGACTTGGCTTGTCCGAGATGTGGTTTGGCCCCTGAGACCCTCAGGCACAGCGTGGGAATGCAGCTGTACTTCACCATTCCAAGAGAGTGCAGAATCTGGCAACCTTGTACACTCCAGGCGATGCTTAAGAAAACCCAAGTTTTCGGCCAGAGTCTCGATTATTTTTAAATGTTTCAATGTAAATCCTAAGATGTTGATAGAACTGCTGGCTTTTGTATTCAAGTTCTGAGACTATGCATTTCTTAACCCATGATTTCTTGAGCATTTCGCAGGGTGTAGAAGCAGCCGTGGTTGCCCTCGGTGCGAATACCAACGAACGCTTCTGGCTTCGAGGCCTCATGGCCGCTTCCCCCGGCCCAGGTTCCCAGCCCCACCCCGGCTCCGTCGAACCACGCGGTGTGGCGTGCCCGACGGATGACGTCGCGAGTCCCTCGGCCGAGAGCGTCGCGCGCCGTGCCCAAGCCGCGCCAGAATGTCTGGGCCGTCGCTGTGTGTCTCACCACCCACCAAACCACCCCAACCCAACCCGAAGGCTCAGATTTGCCCTCCATTTCCAGTTGGGGGGGGTCGGGGAACATCGAGAAAACACATATGAACCCCCGTACCCCCCCCAACCCGAAATTCGGGTCTTCGGGTTGGGTTGGGGTGGTCTGGTAGGTGGTCAGTGTCAGGGGAGGAAGAACCACCCGCACCGGACATTTGGCGTTTGCTAAACGGCCCTGGGCGTTTACCAAACAGCCTTGCCTTGGTTGATTCCTGCTGTGGGCGCGTGTGCTGAACGCATTCGCGTGTCGCGGTGGTCATCATGGGCGTGGATTGTTTTCGACTTCTGGTGTGGGAGACGGGCTGGAGGGAGAGCATGCCGAGGGACCTCGGCTTCGGAGATCTGCCCGGGCGTGGGCCGAGGCCTCGGGCGAGGGGGCGGTGCCGTGAAGTTTATACGTGGAAGCGGTGCTGCCCTGACGGGCAGACGGCAGACCAGCAGCAGAGCTGGGCTTAGGGCCTTTAAGCCTGTCGGATGCACGTGCAGGGGGACCTCACTCTCCTAGATAGTGGCTTCGCCGAGCGCTGGTGGCACAGGTCCCCGTTTCCAGGTCCAGGTCCAGGCCCAGCTCGAGAAGGCAGTCGCTTCCTCCGACCATCGTCCTGTCCTGCCATGTTTTGGATTTCGGATTTCGCGAGCCAGTTGCCGCCAGAAGCCAGCTCGGAGTTCCGTCGCCCAGTTGCTCGCGACCCCCTGCAACCCGATTGATCCCAGGGCCGCCCCTTCCTCCTCAGCCGTTGGCCCCATTCGCACTGGCAATCAGGAGGTGCTTTGCTCAGGCGCGCGTCAATACTCTAAGCACTCTGGAGGGTGGGCGTGCACCTGATCACCAGTTGTGGGGCCATCGGAATGGACATAGCCATCCAAACCATCAGATATCAGAATCGGTCGATGTTGAATGATCAGACGCTTCGGAGACGGCCGATCGTTCAAGGTTGAACAATCCTCGCGGTGTCAGGAACCAACGCCCGGGTCGACACGACATGAACCTGCCGTATCCATCCCCCCCCTCCCCCCCCTCCTCCCCCTCGTCCCCCTCCTCCGCTCGGTGCAAGATCCTCCCCCTCCTCCCCCCCCTCCTCCTCCGCCTCCACCCAACTTCGCTTTGCGACCTCACCACTTTCCATCCATCTCCGTACTCCGAGTTTGTTAGTAAGCGTCGGGGGGGCGTCACCCCCGCCGACAGCCCCACATCGACCCCCGTCGCGGACAGCCACCGCGCGCCGACGGCGCTCCGCCCTCGGTCGCGGCGCGACGACGAGGCGAGGTGGACCCCCGTTGGAGGGGTTTACCCAACCCCCCACGCTTCCCGAGAAACCCAGAGCGTCCGCTTCCCCCTCCCCCCCTCCCCCTTCAGATTCACTCATCCATCCATCCAGCTCCCCAGACACCCGACGTCGTGATTTTTTCATGACGTCGACCCCCAGCGGTTTGGACCCATTCCCCGAGACCGGTTTTTCATCCTGAGTCGTTTTTTGACAGCCCCGAGGCCCGGTAGGGGCCCCCACAGCCGAAAATAACGAAAGACCTCCCGTCGTGATTTTTTCATGACTCGAGGGGGTCTGGGTCCGTCTCTCCGTTCCCGCATCTCCATTTCCCCCCCCCCCCTTCCAGCAGGAGCGCTCGAGGCGCACCCGGGCTACCGCCCCGTGCTCTGCGGCCACAGCATGGGCGGCGCCGTCGGGGCCCTGGCCGCGGCGATGCTCCGCCGGCGCCCCTGGGGCGCGGCCTGCGTCGCGCTCGGCGTCGGGACGCCTGGGGCGGTGTCGAGGACACGGGGGAGCGGTATCGTTTCATCGATCCCTATCCCAGATGGTCTGGTACTGGAAATTTTCGGTAGCGATTTCGACGCACCCCGAATTTCGGTAGCGACCGGATCTTCGTTTGAGGGCGTTGAAATAGCGGATTTCAGAACGCTCTGATACCGGTATTGGGCGCTACATTTCGGTATTTCGGTAGCGACCGATCTCTGCGGAGCGCTACCGGAAATTTTCGGTAGCGGACCATCAGGGATCGTTTCACCGATCCCCATCCCCATCCCCATCCCCATCCCCTTCGAGACCCCCACCAAATTACCCCCCCAGTTGGGGAGATGCCCCTCGAAACCCGAAGGGAACGGCCTATCTCCCCTGTCTAGGGGGGTAAGTCGGCCAGTGGGGCCCAGGCCACGCCGCCGGGGATGGGGATCGGTTAAACGATACTCAGGGGAGGGGAGGCGGTGGGAGGCTCCGGGCGGCGCAAGGACAGTCATCTGTTCAGTCGGGCCTGTCCACCTACAGGGGGATGTTCAAAAATAGGCTGAAAGAAACAGTCAGGGGACGATTTGTTTTTGGATTTTGATTTTTGCGTATTAGTTGAATATGTTTGTTAGTATGTTTCATGTTTCGACCAAAATCCGCCTGTAGGGGGGGGACACGCCCGACCTAACAGTAGGTTAGGGGTGTGCCATACACATTCTGGTGCGCAGACGTATTGCTGGACTTTTTCGCGTGCCATGCAGTCGTTGCAATGGGCGATGCAAGACAGGTCTCTGGCACAATACACTGGCAAGACAATTGCCCCAAATCTATGGCACTACCCCCTTTCAGATGGACCCCCTTCAGACAGCCCCCCCCTGGCCTCAACAGTCCCTCCCGCGGTACTCCCAGCTGGCAGGCAGGACGAAATCTGGGGGGGCTGTCTGCGCGTAACCTCAAGCCTCAAGAGGGACCAGGGGGAGCGGGATGTTGCGGACGAGGACGAGGCGGAGGAGGGTGAAGGGGGGGGGGAAGGAGGGAAGGGGGCCAACACAGTGACGACCCCCCTCATACTAGGAAACACTTTTCTTCGAAAACTCATTTCTTCCTTCACTGCCGAGGCTATCGCTCTGGACGCAGCTTTCCATGCAGTCACGGCCATCACATCTGCAATCGTCGACAGGCCGTCATTCACCCTGACCTCGAAAGATAAAGGATGGGGAGGAGGGGAAGCGAGACGAGGAGGCGGAGGATGACGGGGATAGGGGGGGATGCAGGGCAAAGGAGGGAGGCAGGCTGGGATGGAGGATGTGGAGGAGGGGGCCCGGGAAGATGACGATGATGATGTTGATGTTGATGATTGTGATGATGCTTCCGCTGATGCTGCTGCTGATGATGATTATGACGATGATGACGATGACGATGAGGATGATGATGAGGATGATGCTGATTTGGATGAGGATGAGGCTGAGCATGACGATGCTGATGCTGACGATGATGACGATGCTGATGATGACCAGGAGGATGGTGAGGATGAGGATGAGGATGATGATGAGGAGGATAATGAGGATGACGATGACGATGACAAAGACGATACCGATGATGATGATGATGCTGATGATGGTGGTGATGATGATGATGATCATGATGATGATGATGATGGTGCTGCTGCTGATGATGATGATGATGATGGTGATGGTGTTGGTGGTGGTGGTGATGATGATGATGCGGTTGATGATGATGCTGATGCTGATGCTGCTGATAATAATGCTGTTTAGTGATGATGACGATGACGATGACGATGCTGATGATGGTGAGATAATGATGATGGTGGTGATGATGATGCTTATGATGATGGTCACGATGATGGTGCTGCTGCTGCTGCTGCTGATGATGATGATGATGATGGTGATGATGATGCTGATATGGATGATGATGTTGATGATGATGATGATGATGATGGTGGTGGTGGTGATGATGATGCTGTCGATGATGCTGATGATGGTGATGCAAATATTAATGATGATGATGATGATGATGATGATGATGATGATGATGATGATGATGGTGATGATGGTGGTGGTGGTGATGAAGATGATGCTGGTGATGGAGGTGGTGGTGGTGGTGATGATGATGCTGATGATGCTGATGATGCTGCTGCTGATGATGATGATGGTGGTGATGGTGATGGTGATGGTGATGGTGATGGATGATGGTGATGATGATGATGATGATGATGATGATGATGATGATGATGATGATGATGATGATGATGATGATGATGATGATGATGGTGGTTGTGGTGATGACCAGGAGGAGGACGAGGAGGAGGAGGAGGCGCCCGACTCTCGGGCCGTAGGCTGCGCCCGACTCTCGGGCCATTACGGGCCGCCCCCGTCTCCTCGGGGCCTGGGCACCCGGCCGCCCCTCGCCGCCGAGGAACATCTGCGACCGCCTGGCCCGCGAGGGCGCCGTGACCACCGTCGTGAACGGCCGCGACTGGGCGCCGGCCTGCTCGGTGTCCAACGTCAACGAGCTCATGGACGACCTCGCCGACCTGGGCCTCGTGAAGACGCTGCTCCGCTCCGCGAGCGGCCTCTCCAACGAGACGCGCGAGATCAAGGCCCGGCGGCCGGCCGCCCCCCCCCCCCGCAGCGCGGGGGCTGCGATCGATCCTTCGGCACGAGCGACATGGGTACGGAAAGAACGGCCCCCCCCCCGCGCGGGGGCTGCGATCGATCTTCGGCACGAGCGAGGTGGGAACGGAGAGAACGGGTGCAATGCCCAGCAGCAGATCTCGTCCATTTCGAACAGGACTCGCCGTCCGCGCCGCCGCGGCCTGTGTCTCTTTGGGACAGAAGGCCGCCTGCCCAACAGCGGCCGCAGCTGGTTTGGGACAGAATTTGATGTTGGGCATTGTGCCCATTTTTTCCGTAACCCATTTCGGGCGTCCAATGATTTAGTCAGGTGCGGCCGAGCGTTTTCAAGGCAGGCGATGTTCTGCCGTTTCCGTCGGCTCCAGGAGGCTTTCTTGCCTCGGGATGCGTTCTGGGGGTGCCCGGATCGCTCCGAACGGCCGCCAGAGACCCGAGGAGTGGTCCGACAGCCGAATGCCTCCTCCAGGACCCATTTCGATCCGATCGGTCCGATTCGATCTCGATTCCGGCCAGCTCGGTCCGATTCGATTCCGACATGCCCACGATCCGACGCGGCCCGACGCTCGCATGGCGTCGTTGTGCACCCCAGGGCAGCCGATCCGATTCGATTCCGGCTCCGTGCAGGTGCGCCCCGATTCGTCCCACGCTCCGATCGAATCTGGTTTGCCGATTCGATGCGAACTGATGCTGCCCCCCTTGTGTGAGGGCCAGGAGGTGCTGGGTGCCCCAGGAGTCAACCGAGCGGGCCCTCCAGAGGGTGCTCGGAAGAAATCAAGGATCGAGGTTCGAGAGCCAAGGCGTTCCAACATTTGTTGCCTTTTTGTGGCCTCTAGCGGCGTCCTCGTGGCCATGACTGGCACCGCCCCGAACTTCTGATTCGTCTGGGGCGTGACTTTCGACCCCTAGCTCCCAGAGCTCCATCGCGTTGAGCAAGTTCAGATTCAGGTTTCCCTCACTTTTCGGCGTCTGTGGGCGGCTCTTGATTAGGGAGCATACGAAACGATCGGGGATGAAATGCAGGCCCTGGAGAAGAGGTCGGGACTTTGGAAGAGCGCGTTCTGTGGTCGCTTGGGGGGGGGGGGGGGCTGGAACCGGACCCCCCACCCCAAGGATGGAGAGGGGGGGGGTTCGAACCCCCCCCTCTCCCCTCTCCCTCCTCCCCTACTTTTGCTCTCTCCCTCTCCTCGGGCCGGCGCCTGCGTCGGCGGCGGCTGGTGGCGGCGGCGGGGGCGACGACTTCCTTTTCTGGGCCGGCGCTGGAGCCTGCGGCGGCGGGCGACGGCGGCGGGGAGAGTCGACGAGGACGACGGCGACGACGATACTGACGACGACGCTCCGCCACCGTGCCTTGGTTTTGGGTCAGAGTCCTAATGGATGCCTCTTGGGGTCTCGTCGGAGGGCTTTCGGGGGCCTCTGAAGGGCTTTTGTGCAGCGTCCTGGGCGCCTCTTGGGCGTCTCTTGGGGCCTGTCAAAGGTGGCGGTGGTGGTGGTGGTGGGCTGTGGTGGTGGTGGTGGTGGTGGTGGTGGTGGTGGTGGTGGTGGTGTGGTTGTGGCGGTGGTGGTGGTGGTGGTGGTGATGTGGTTGGCGGTTGTGGTGGTGGTGGTGGTGGTGGTGGTGGTGGTGGCGGTGGCGGTGGTGGTGGTGGTACGGTGGTTTCTGGTGGTGTGGTGGTAGTTGTGGTGGTGGTGGTGGTGGGTTAAGGTGGTGGTGTTGGTGGTGGCGGCGGTGGTGTGGTGGTTGTCGTGGTGGTTGTGGTGGTGGTAGTGGTTGTGGCGGTGGTGGTGGGTTAAGGTGGTGTTGGTGGTGGCGGTGGTTGTGTGGTGGTTTGTCGTTGTGGTTGTGGTGGTGGTAGTGGTTGTGGCGGTGGTGGTGGGTTGTGGTGGTGGTGGTGGTGGTGGTGGTGGTTGTGGTGGTTGTTGTGGTGGTGGTTTGTTGTGGTGGTGGTGGTTGCGGTGGTGGTTTGTGGTGGTGGTGGTGTGGTGGTTTGTCTTTGTGGTGGTGGTGGGTTGTGGTGGTGGTGGCGGGGGTGGTGGTTGTGGTGTTGGTGGTGTGGTGGTTTGTTGTGGTGGTGGTGTTGTGGTGGTGGGTGGTGGTGGTGGCGGTGGTGGTGGTGGCGGTGGTGGTGGTTTGGTGGTGGTTTGGTGGTGGTTTGGTGGTGGTGGTTGTGGTGGTGGGTGTGGGTGGGTGGTGGTGGCGGTGGTGGTGGTTTGGTGGTGGTTTGGTGGTGGTTTGTGGGTGGTGTTGGTGGGTTGTGGTGTTGTTGTGGTGGTGGTAGTGGTGGTAGTTGTGGCGGTGGTGGGTTAAGGTGGTGTTGGTGGTGGCGGCGGTGGTGTGGTGGTTTGTCGTGGTGGTTGTGGTGGTGGTAGTGGTTGTGGCGGTGGGTGGGTTGAGGTGGTGTTGGTGGTGGCGGCGGTGGTGTGGTGGTTTGTCGTCGTGGTTGTGGTGGTGGTAGTGGTTGTGGCGTGTGGGTGGTGGGTTAAGGTGGTGTTGGTGGTGGCGGCGGTGGTGTGGTGGTTTGTCGTGGTGGTTGTGGTGGTGGTAGTGGTTGTGGCGGTGGTTTGTTTGTGGTTGGTGGTGTGGTGGTTTGTCTTGGTGGTGGTGTGGGTTGTGGTTGTGGTGGTGGCGGGGGTGGTGGTTGTTGTGTTGGTGGTGTGGTGGTTTGTGTGGTGGTGGTGGTTGCGGTGGTGGTTTGTGGTGGTGGTGGTGTGGTGGTTTGTCTTGGTGGTGGTGTTGGTGGTGGTGGTTTTGTGGTGGTTTGGTGGTGGTTTGTGGTGGTGGTGGTGGGTTGTGGTGGTGGTGGTTTGATGGTTGTGTGGTGCTGGTTTGTGGTGGTGGTGGTGGGTTGTGGTGGTGGCGGTGGTTTGTGGAGGTGGTGGTTGTGGTGGTAGATGTGGTGGCGGTGGTGGTGGTTGTGGTGTTGTCGTTTGTGGTTTGGGTGGTGGTGGGTTGTGTTTCTGGTAGTGGTGGTGGTTGTGGCGGTGATGGTGGTGGTGTGGTAGACTAGTGGTAGTGGTGGTGGTGGTGGTGGGTTTTTGTGGTGGTGGTGGTAGTGAGTTGTGGTGGTGGTGGTGGTGGTTGTGGTGGTGGTGGTGGCTGTGGTGGTGGTGGTGGTGGTGGTGGTGGTGGTTGTGTGGTGGGTTCGTGGTGGTGGTGGTGGGTTGAGGTGGTGGTGGTGGTGGTGGTAGTGGTGGTGTTGGTGGTAGTGGTAGTGGTTGTAATCGTCGCTGCGCCCCCGCCGTCGGCGCTGCTTGCCGCCGCGAGCGCTTGCGCCAGCGCTGGCGCGGGGGGGGTGGGGTTTTGGACCCCCTCCCCTTTCTTGGGCTACCTCTGGTCAGCGTCGCTGCGCCCCCGCCGTCGGCGCTCCTGGCGGCCGCCAGCGCTGGCGCCGGCGCCGGGAGGGGGGGGAGGTTTGAACCCCCGCCCCTTTGGGAGGGGGGGGGGTTCGGGAGGGGGGTGGTTTTGCGGGAGAGGGCTGCCTTCCTGGTTATGATTGACGGCGCCGAGTGTTGGGGTGTTGGGGGGGGGCCACCCCCGAGTTCGAAACGCGCCGCCGAATGTTCCCAAGGCAAGCGCCCGTGAAGCGCGCTCTCTCTCGGACTTCTGGACATCCGCCATCCGCTTCGAAGCAGAATCAAAACGCGGGAGGTCTGGGCACGCGACGTGTCTTGGCCGAGAGCCGGATACGCAGGGGGCTGGCAGGCATGTTGCCCCCCCCCCTCAATGGTATTTGGGAAGCCGCGGTCGGCGTTTGGGAAGCCGCGGTCGGCGTTTGGGAGGATCGCGCAGGTTCTGGCCAGACTCGGAGTCCGGGAGGGCCCACACATCCTTGTGATCCTGGCTCTCACACATCCGACCGTCGCCGGCATTCGTGGCGCTCGGCCCTCGACGACGACGAGGCCGACGACGAGGCCGATGAGGCCGACGACGACGACGCCGACGACCACGCCGACGACGACGACGACGCCAACGACGACCACGCCGACGCCGACGACGACGACGACCACGACGACGACGACGACCACGCCGACGACGACCATGCCGACCACGCCGATGACGACGACGACGACGCCAACGACGACCACGCCGACGACGACCACGCCGACGACGACGACGACCACGACGACGCCAACGTCGGCGACTGCGACAGCGATGACGCCAACGATGGCGACGACGATGACGATGGCGACGGCGACGGCGACGGCGACCACAACGACGACGACATCCGACAGTCGCTGGCATTCGTGGCGTTCGGCCCTCAGCGGCCATGGCCATGCCGTCGCTCCGCGGGCGAGCCAAGCGCGCTTTTTCTGCGGCCGTCCCTCTGCTGCCTTTTTGGGGCCTTTTTGGGGGGCCGTGATGGGGCCTCTTGGGGCCTCTTGGGGACCTTTTGGGGCTTCTTGGGGTGCCTCTTGGGGGCCCCTTGGGGCCTCTTGGGGGCCCTTTGGGGCCTCCTGGGGGCCTCTTAGGGCTGATTCTGCGGCCGTCCCTCTGCTGCCTGCCTGCGCTTCTGCGTCGGGGTCCGCCTCGAGGAAAATCAGCGGCGTGAACATACGGTCCACCCGCAGAGGAAGGATGAGCGGCACCGTGCAGGCTCCGAGCGCCCTCGAGCGTCGTCGCGAGCGCGTGGTCTACTCGTGTCCTACCCGCCCCCCCCCCCCGTGCGTGTGTGTGTGTGTGTGCTGGTTTTTTAATGAAATAGAAAAAGGGGTTGATCCCATTCAAAAATCGCGTGCCCACATTACCCTTGCATCTTTTTTGTTCGGCCCATGCTTGGCCGCTTTCGCTGGCCAGCCCCTCTCGGAGAACGTCAGCAGGGCCTCCCGAGGCCCTTGCATTATTACCGCGCATCCTTACCATACGGATTGATTGTGAACTTTCGGAGGCCCGCGCGGATTTCTTGGATCGGTGCTGGGCTTCCGCGGCGGCGCCTCCGGCGCCGCCCCTGGCGCGCGCTCCGCGCGCCAGTGAAGGGGCCCCGGCGCAGATCCAAGAAATCCGCGCGGAGTTTCGAAAGTTTATGTCTGTGCCGTTTGGTTTTACTTCCACAGTGGAGACCCGTGCCAAGAGACACCCTGCTTGCCTCCAGGGTGCTCTGGTTTTCTTGGGCTTCGCTGGTTTTGCCATGGAGAACTTGACGTCCCCAAACCACGAATCAATGGACGATCTGGGGTCTCAGAGCGGGGTTTCTTGTTGAAGATCTCTCGTGGATTAGCCTCGACTGCAAGGCGTCGCAATCTTGCCTCTCGCGCCCTTATTTTTCGCCTTATTATCCGGGGCTACTGTAGGTTTTCGCCTTATTTATTGCACTGCTGTCGGCTGCTTTGTCGCGCGCGTGCGGTTGGATAGCCCCCCGGAGGGGCAGCGGATCTCAAGTGTGGCAGAGCGATCGAATCGAACCTTCAGGCGATTTCGTTGCCAAAAAAAAAATATTGCCTCTCGCGCCCGGGGGGGGGTGCGCCGGGCCCCCGAAGGCGGTGGCCCATCGTGTGACCTCCCATCGCTTGCCCCCCCCCGTCGCCAACCGTGCACAGCTGTGCAGGGTCTGCTGGCGCAAGAGGGTGTCCGTCGTGGCCCCCATGGAGGGCCCGCCTGGCTGTTCTTTCGCTCGTGGCCCCTCGTGCAGGGCCCGCTTCGATCTGGTCGATCCGACCCAGTGCAAATTCCAACCGGCCCGATCCTTCTGCTCCTCCTCCTCCTCCTCCTCCTCCTCCTCCTCTTCTCCTCCTCCTCCTCCTCCTCCTCCTCCTCCTCCTCCTCCCTCCTCCTTCCTCCTCCTCCTCCTCCTCCTCCTCCTCCTCCTCCTCCTCCTCCTCCTCCTCCTCCTCCTCCTCCTCCTCCTCCCCCTCCTTTTCCTCCTCCTCCCTCCTCCGCCACCTCCTCCACCTCCTCCTCCTCGGTGGGGGTTCGGGGTCACCGTTCCGTTTTAGGACTCGGGTCGCTCTCCGAAGACGTCTCCGAAGACGTCCGAAGACGCTTCTGTGCCGGGGCCTCTGTGCCGGGCCTGCTGGCGCAAATGGGTGTCACTCGTGGCCCCCTGGAGGGCCCGCCTGGCTGTCTTAGCTCTTGGTCGGCGTCAACCCAAGATACTAACTAATACTATGTGTGCGTCGCCCCCCCCAGGGGCGACGCGCGCACCGAGAAATCTTATAGTATATGCGTCGTGGCTGGCGTTTTCTGGCCACACCGCTCGGGAAACAATCTACGTACTGCAAGATGGTTATACTAGATGGTCGGGTCGGACGCGCGCCTCCAAGGAGGACATCTAGTATTAGTATGTCTCTGTGCGTCCCATATGGCCCCTCGTGCATGGTCCGCTTCGATCTGGTCGGTCCGACTCGGTGCTTTCCCCGGCCGGCCCGAGCCGATTCGGTCCCGATCTGTCGGCAGTCCGATGTGGCGGTCCGACGCTTGTCTGTTTCGGTCTTGTGCAGCCTGGCGCGGCCGAGGCGATCTTCGACACCGCCTCCGTGTTCGGGGGCCCCGAAACGGTGTGGCGACCGCTCCTCCTCCTTCTCCTCCTCCTCCTCCGCCTCTTCCTTCTCATCCCCCTCCTTCTCCTCCTCCTCCTCTTCTTTCCTCTTCCTCTTCCTCCCACTCATCCTCCTCCACCTCTTCCTCATCCTCCTTCTCCACTTCCTCCTCCTCCCCTCCTCCTTCTCTTCCTCCTCCGCCCCTTCTTCCTCCTCCTCTTGCTCCTCTTTCCTCTTCCTCTTCCTCCCCCTCCTCCTCCTCTTCCTCCTCCTCCTTCTCCTCCTCCTTCTCCTCCTCCCCCTCCCCGTCCTCCTCCTCCTCCTCCTCATTCCCTCCTCCCGCTCTCTTCCTTCTCCACCTCTTCCTCCTCCTCCACCTCCTCCTCCTCGTCCTCGCCTCTTTCGTCTCCTCCTCCACCTCCACCTCCTCCTCTCCTCCTCCTCCTCCTCCTCCTCCTCCTCCTCCTCCTCCTCCCCTCCTCCCTCCCTTCTTCCTCTTCTCCTCCTCCTCCTCCTCCTCCTCCTCCACCTCCTCCTCCTCCTCCCCCTCCTCCTCTCCCTTCTCCTCCTACTCCTCTTCCTCCTCCTCCTCCTCCTACTGAGGGGTAGGAGAACGCAGGGGCAGAAGAACGCGCAAAAGTTACTTCATACTGGCCGTGCACAGATCTCCAGTATCCAACTCTCCACTTCCACATCCACCTATCGACCTCAAGCGTCCATCAGCTCAACATTACAACCTCCAACCTCTAGCATGAGACTCTTCACTTCCACCTCCACCGATCGACCTCCAGCGTCCACCAGCTCAGCACTCCGACCTCCAACCTCTAGCGTCCGACTTTCTATTTCCACCTTCACCTATCGACCTGCAACGTTCACTGGCTCAACATTACGACCTCCAACCTCCAGCATGCGACTTCCCGCTTCCACCTGCACCAATCGACCTCCCTACTTCCACCAATTTCAGCATTCCAACCTCCAGCCTCCAGCATCTGACTTTCCACTTCTCCCTCCACTAATCGACCTCCAGCGTCCACCAGGTCAGCACTCCGACTTGCAATCTCCAACATCTGACTCTCCACCTCCACTTCCACCTATCGACCTCCATCGATCATCAGCTCAATATTAACCTCCAACCTCCAGCATCCGATTCTCCACTTCCAGCTCGACCAATCGACCTCCAGCGTCCACCAGCTCAGCACGCCGACCACCAACGTCTAGCATCCGACTTTCGATCCACCTCTACCTATCGACCTCCAGCGTCCAACAGCCCCGCATTCCGACCTCCAGCATCTAGCATCCGACTCTCCACTCCCACCTCTATGTTTCGACTTCCGACGCCCACCAAATCAGCATTCCAACAACCAACCTTTAGCATCCGACTCTCGACTTCTACCTCTACCAATCGACCTCCACCCTCCACCAGCACAACATCCCGACCTCAAATTTCTAACCTCCGACTTCCCGCTTCCACCGCCAATCGACCTCCAGCTTATGGGCCTTCGGCTGCGCGTGCATCTGCGCCCTGAGTGGTATCTGAAGGATGTGACTGGATTGGAGTTCCGAGGCGTCCAACTCGTTCGTGTCTGGCTACGACTTCAACGAAACTACGTCACCACATCCGATTACAACAGAGGGGTGGGAGCAATTGGAACATCAACTCGTGAGGTACGCATTATCCTGAGCAAGCCTCCGACGCGCGCTGCCTCTCATGCGAGGCCATGGCCTCACCCGCCTCGCCCTTAAGGGGCCAGGGCGCATCCCCGCACAGGCGATCCGATCCGATCCGATCCTTCTCTTCCTCCTCCTCCTTCTCCTCCTCCTCCTCCTCCTTCTCCTCCTCCCCCCCTCCTCCCTCCTCCCCCTCCTCCCTCCGCCTCCTCCTCCTCCTCCTCCTCCTCCTCCTCCACTTCCTCTTCCTCCTCCTCCTCCTCCTCCTCCGCCTCCTCCTCCGCCTCCTCCTCCTCCGCCTCCTCCTCCTGCTCTTTCATCTTCCTCCCCCCCTCCTCCTCCTTCTCCTCCTTTTCCTCCTCCACCGCACCGTTTTGGAACGTGGGCCGTTCTCCGAAGACGCCTCGTTGAGAGCAGCGTGTGGTGGCGGGCCGCGCGGTGGGGCCACTGGGACTCCCCACGTCGCCACGCGGCCCGTCACCGCACGGCTCGTGGGGCCCCGGCGCCGTGCCCATGCGGCCCGACCCGATGCGCGCTCGGACCCTGCCCGAGAGTTCCCCCGATCCCGTGCCGGCCGGGCCCGCGCCCATAGGCGCCCGAGGAGCTCGACCTGCCGCCCGGCGACATCCTGCAGATGGTGCCGTCGCCGCAGCCCGGGCCGGCCCCCAAGCTGCTGAGGCCGGCGGCGGGCGGAGGAGGGCGGGGCGGGGCTCTCGGAGGCTTCTGGGAAGGGTTCGCTGGGCAGGGTGGGTCGGGCCAGAGCTGACGCCCCCGCAGCCCGACCTGAACCCGCCCCGCTCGACCTGAGGCGCCCCAGCAGCAGTTGACAGCACCCCTCTTGAACCAGACCTTCACGCCGTGCCCGACGGATGATTTAGAGGGAGAATGAACTTCATCCACATGAACTTTCGAAGGTCTGGACCTGGCGACGCCTCTTGCGCTGCCCCTGGCGCAGCCCGCGCAATGAGGGGGTCCAGCCCCGATCCAAGAAATCCGTGCGGACCTCCCAAAGGTCATTGTTATGCTTTGTCTGTTGCATCTTGTCTGTTTGTCGCCAATTTGGGCTTTCTGGAGTGTTCTTGCGGCCACCGCTGGGTGAAATCCGACAATGTGGACTGGAGGGGCCCCTCTAGGCGCCCGGGGAATTGTTCTGCACGGCTTTGGGCTGGGGGTGAGGCGACGGGGGCGGCCTTCTCAAGGAGGCAGGGGGGGCTCCCCTGGGAGCCCTTCCGCATTCCAGCCAGCGCCCGCATGCTGCTCGAACAACAGCATGGCGCCAAGTCTGTGGAAGAGTCCTGGATGCTCCAGGGGTGCCCCTCGAAGCCGAGAAAGGGAAAGATGCCGAGTGCTTCGTTGAAGAGGGAAAAAGCTCCGGGAGCACTTCGTTGAAAAGGGAAAGGGGCCGAGCGCTGCATGTTCGTCCCCCCCTTGGGCCACGGCCGAAGCGTAGGCCGGATCCTGGAAGCTTCCGTGGAGAAGCGACCCACAGATGGCCACGGCCAGGAAGAAGCAGGCCAGGCCCCCCCCCCAGCGGAGGTGTCGAGCGACAAGAGGACCACAACAGACAAGTATAACATGCAGAACTAGGTTTAAGGTGGACATGTCCCTCTAAGGGAGGAATGTTCAAGAGCAGTGAAGAATAAAAAGGGAACGGTTTTTCGTGCTGCTTTGACTATGTGTAATTTTTCTTCCAACGTCCGCCTGTAGGAAGACATGCCCGACCTAAGACTACTATCCTCGTCAAAATTAACCTCAACAGTTGCTGGCACGTCATTTCGATTTCGGCGCGCCCCTCAATGTCGACACGCCGCCCCTTCAATGTCGGGGTGATGGCAAAGATAGTCTGACCGAAGTTGACTCGAAAGTTTGACGTCGACCGACATTGGAGGGGCGGCGCATGCAAGTTCCCCGCACTCATCGATACTCGGCCCCAGATCTTCCGACAAGCTGTTCAACCACGTCAGACATTTTTGAGGTTAATGTTGACGAGGGTTGTAGGTTCACGCACGCCCTCCCCGCGCGTGGCGTCCAGGCCCCTCGGCCTGTTGCCAGGCCCGCGGCGATCCCAGGCCTGTCGGGGCGACCACGACGAGCAGCGCCGGCGAGCAGAACTCCGGCCCCTCGGACCGGATCGGCGGCGAGCGAGGGGGAGGGGAGTGACAGGCTAGGTGCGTTCGCGGCATATCTGACGTCCTACGTCCTACCCCTCCCTCCCATCCCTCACTATGGCGTAGATCTCGTCTCCTATTCGCACAGTCGGGTGTCGCAGCAGGCATAGCATTACATGGCATTGCATGGTGTTGAATATCAGCGCGTAGCCTGACATGGCATGTCGTGGCGACGCCCCAAAGTGGGGGGGGGCTTCGGCGGCCCCAAACATCAACGAATCGACACCGAATGTGGAATCACTTCCGATGGTTTTTTCGGGGGGGTGGGGAGCATTTTTAAGATTTTGGGGCTTAGTTGGAAGGACCGGAGACGATGCCGTGGCATGGCGCTGGAAATAATGACGCCAGCGCTGCAGCGGGAGCACGATTCGGAACGAGCGGAAGCGCGGACATGAGGCCAGCGCTGCAGCGGGAGCACGATTCGGAACGAGCTGAAGCCCGAAAATGAGGCCAGCGCTTCAGCGGGAACCACATAAAGCAAAAAAAAGCAAAGCAAGCGAAAACCCAATTCCAGGGAATCCTGTGTCTAAAAACATTACGCGGAGGGGGGGCTGGACATCATCTGGACGTCATCAGGGAAGAGAGGAGAGCAGTGATATTGTGTAATTGTGAAGGGGCGGGCCTTCTCAGAAGGCTCGGACGTCCCCCAGCCTTCTGAGAAGTTTTTTAGATCTTCCCCGAAGATAGAAAAACAAACTTTCGGACGGCTGGAGGCCTTCTGAGAAGTCTCGCCGCCTTTTGAGAGGGCCTTCTCCTTCTCATTCCCCGTTTCGCTCGCTGCCGACAGGAAGCACCCGCAACCGAGTTCGACAGCGTAAAGAGGGCCCGAAGGGCAAGTGAAGCGAGGCCCACCATCTTCAGGACGCCCGCCCACGCGCGCCTTCCTCGCCAGCAGGCCGCCGCGTTGAGCGTATCAGACGGCATGCCGACCAATGTCTCTACTCCATTACAGCATGTTTGAGCTTCGTGAGAAGCGCGCTTGCGGTCTCGAGAAAGATGATCAAGGGTAGCCGTGCCATCGGCACCATATGCACCAGCGCCCGCTGATTGCAGGAGGGCCCGGGTTACGCACAAGGGTTCCAGGAAGCCTCCTCTCGAGGAGGGCCAGACGAGACAACGGTGGTTCTCCCGCCCAGATCACCTGACTCGTATGGCGCTCTCAAGGCCGTGCCTCTTTTTTCAGTGGCTCTGTTTAGCTTTCGGCTTCCAGGGCCTCTTCAGGACAGCTCTTGACTGAACTGGCTGAGGCATGAAGTCCGCAAGTGCACATCTGACACACGACTGACTGCAATGCTGTGCGAGGCGCGAGCAGCTACACATGCAACTGTCGATCAACAGTCTCCCAGGCCAAATTCGCTCACACTCTGTCTCTGGACTCGTCCCCGGGTCCGTCCTGACCCGTGGCTGTAGGTGGATCTCAAGCTCCGCTCCGGCGACGAGATGCATCCGGGGGAGACCCAAGAAAGGACGGGCAGGACTGCAGGGAGAGCCGCCGTTGCCTCGAAACTGGCTCCGATCTGTGGTCGGGCGCCAGCTCGGGACTCGCGCGGCCGGTCGGGACGATTCCGGCATCTCCGATCAGTGGCCACATGCGAACCCTGCTCCCCACCGCCCACGATGTCCAAGGTGGGGTGGGGGTGGGGTTCACCTGTGGCCACCAATCCGGAAAGCCCGTGACGAGGCGCAGCTGATGGGAACCATCCCAGAGACACAAACACAAGCGAACGTTTTCCGCCATTCGATCTTCTTCTTCGAGCGTCGATCCTCTTCTTCGATCCTCCAGGAGCTGACGCTGCCGAGCCCGAGAACCCCCCTCCCCCGATCCCTGCTGCCAGGCCTCGCGCCCTCGTTCTTAGAAGGCCTTCTCCTTCCCCCCCCCCGCGCGCCACCGCCCTTTCTGCGCGCACTGGATCAGGGCCGCGCCGATCGACTACCACAACGCCTTCCCGTCGTTCCCCGACGTGGAGGCGGACCTCCTCCTCCTCCTCCCCTCCTCCTCGTCCTCCTCATTTCCTCCTCCTCCTCCTCTTCCTCCTCGTCCTCCTCCCCCCCTCCTCCCCCTCCTCCTCCTCCTCCTCCTCCTCCTCCTCCTCCTCCTCCTCCTCCTCCTCCTCCTCCTCCTCCTCCTCCCCCTGAATACCTTTCCATAATGAACAACGCCTCCCTGTTGCACCCCCGGACGTGTCGGTTGGGCGGGCTGGGCGCTTCACTTGAGATTTCCCCACCATTCATGATTCTTCAGCTGAAAGCTTGCACCAGCTTCACGGATGGAGGGCGGGCCGTTTACGAAATATTGATGTCGCCGTAGCGCCGCGCACGTCTGTCTTCCAACGTTGCAACCGTTTCACGGATGGAGGGCGGACGGTTTTCAAAATGTAGTTATCGCATTCGCGCCGCGCGCATTTTTTTGTTCCAGAGTTTCGCGATGGAGGGCGGGCAGTTTTCGAAATGTGGCTCTCGCCGTAGCTCCGCGTAAATTTGTTTTCGAAGTTTGCAATACGTTCGATGATGGAGCGCGGTTCCTTTTCAAACTGTGGCTCTCGCCTAAGTGTTGTGCACGCTCGGTTATATGTTTGCAAGAGGTTCAAGGATGTGTATGGTTGACGTTGCAGGTATTGTGTGATTGACACTATTTGAGATTGTCCGGGTGCAGCCGTCAAGCCGATTCACGGCGATGTAGTCCCAAAACAGTGTTTTGACGCGGCTGAGGATCTTCAGACGCATGTCGTCCAACGGGGCACCACAGCAGCAACACACAAATCGTTGTATGAACCCATGAAGAGGGAACTAGGACGGAGGGTGTATTGCAACATCGTGGGTTCGTTCTGGATTGCACAGTCCCTCCTCCTCCTCCCTGATGATCGTCGCCCTCGTCCTCTTCCTTCCTTCGTCTTCCTCTCTCCTCCCCCCACCCGAACCATCCCCTCGTCCTCATACTCCCCTTTTCCTTCCCCTCGTCCCCCGCCTCCGACATAATCCCCCCGCTGTCTTCCTCCCCTCCCTCCTCCTCCCTGGGTTCCCGGCCACACGCATCCGATGGCCCCCGAGCTCCCGCAGCGCCTTCCCCCCTTCCGTTTCCCGACGGAGACGCTCTTCTCCCTTGTTGGGAGCGCCACAAATCAAGTACAGTGGAAGCCCATGCCAAGAAACACCCTGCTCGCCTCTAGGGTTATGACAGCGAGTCCTTAGACAGCAACCAACCATGCTGATCAAAATGGGATAGGACAAAGTAGGGAAACGTAGCTTTCCAATATTGAAAAACGTATGGGCATATTAGGTTTAAGTCGGGTAAAGAAGCTTTCCAATATTCGGAAAAGTAAGCACGTAATAGGTTTATTTCGGGGAAGTCGGAAATCTTTTCCCAATGCAGATATAACATTTCAATGAATTTTGTGGGCCGATCAGGACGCGCGCTGTGAATGTGTCGCATGGCAGCCATCATTGCCGTGACCATCCGGGGCTCGTTGCGCTGCGCCGCATTGTTTGAGGTTCAAAGGCGCGGGGACGCGCTGCTCGAAACAAGCGCGTAGTGTTTGGGGCCGTAAATGCAAGATTGCAGCGCCAGCGTCTTCTTGTAGTCTACAAGGCGGCCCGCGGATTCAATCGCGCGCTACGCTTTCTGTCGGTTGTAGATTTTTGGATCGGGGCCGAGCAAGTGGCGGGGCCCCGCCCGCCAGGCCAGCGCGCGGCAAAGATGGGTGAATCTGAAACCTTGCGCGGGCGCGGAGAACTTCTTTCGCCAATTTAGAGAGCAATGTCGGGGTGCTCCCCGAACCCGTCATGGGGCCGCCCAGGGTCGCTGGGGGGAGCGCTGCGACCCGCCCGCGGGCCTGCCAGCGGCCGGCCAGGGGGGGGCCTCCAGCGGGCCCGGGTTCCGCGAGAGCCGGCGCGGCCGGCCCTGATTTGCGCGCGCCGGCGCTGGCGCCGCCTGGCCCGGAACTCCCGCGCGCGACGCCTCCGGGCGCCGGCGGGCCGCTGAAGGGGGGGGTAAAAAAGTTAGTTTAAAG